CTATCTACACTTTAAAAGCCAAATGATTATTTTTAATTTTGATATTTTAAGTGCCATTTTATTTATTTATTCTTACACACTTCTTTTCATTCATCATATTTCAAAGTAGCCTACTCATAACCTGAATATTTATTAGAAATGTAATTTGCTCTCTCAATTCTAGATATCATACATTTTTACCTAAAATATATAAGTTATGGAATTCAAGTATTTAATTGAGAAATATAATTTAATAAAAAAAGATCTTTCTTGTTATCATTTTTCTTTTCTTCTACTTATATTATATTTTTAGATTTTTCATAATCATTCAAGTTTATTTTTAATTCAATTGTAAGTATATAAATCACATTGTAATTTCATATTTACCAAAAGGAATGTAAATCTGTTTCTCCTATCTAAATTTAAAGGCAATCAATTATTTATAATATTACATATCTTCAAAATATTGTTTACTTGCGCAATCTTAATCGCTTAACTATATGATAGCATAAACTCCCCATTCTAATAATTCTTATGAATTATTTGCGGATAACTTAAGATAACAACAATAACTTACCTAGACAATTGAATGCAATCCATTATCATTTAGATTAGGAATCAAAATCTTCTCAACTCTTGCCACATAACTGGTTTGAAGTTCTCTTGAATCCAATCCATCTAATAATCTAATCCCTCTCATTTTTGTTTAAATTGGATTGGGTTTTATTTATTTTTATTCACTTCTCCAGGCTTTAAAACCTAATCGAGAGAAGAGTTTTTCAGTTAATGACAATCTTAGCTGTTTATTTGATTACTCATGTGTATTTTTGAGGTCTTCTTCTAATTCTTTAACTTATTCGTTTATAATTTCTTCAACCTATGGAACACCTATTTCATTATTTTCAATAGCCTCATTATTCAATTTTTAAAATGACTTAGTCAAGTCATCAATTTTTTTTTTTAATTTTTCATTCGATAATGTGTTTTCTTATTCCTTAATACATTCAATTTGATTTGAAACTTAAAATTTTTTATGGTTACTAGTACTTTATTAGTTTTCTTTATTTTCTTAAAACTATACTCTAAGTTGCTTTTTAGAAACCTTAGACGCAGATTAATTTTGTAAAAGTTATTCGCCTTCTTCAGATTTCGAAATAATCTAATTTGCCTATTATTAAATATATTTCACTATGTTATCATCTTAATAAGTTTTTTACATAGAATTTAGAATATTTCTCATTAAGAAATCTGAATATTTCGATTTTTCTTTGCATAAGGAGTGAAACACAACTAAAATTATGATCCATAAATTATTATCTTTTAAGAGTTTTTCACCGATTTGTGTTCTGATTTCGGGAATGAATACCTAAAAAGATAGGTGTTATCGCAATATACTGGATTCTTCAGTGAGTAATTATATGGCAAGATCAAATGAATTATTCTTATTTTAAAATTCGAAAACAATCTGTGATAATTATTTTTGTATGGTATCACCTTCATAGTATTAAGGATGTTTTTTTGTAAGTTTAGCTGATTTATTTCCAGATCTAAGCGATTTTTTAAACAAAATATCGCTATTGCTCTTCCCCTGTTCAAACATAAATTTAAATACAAATAATATAACAAAATACGAAAAAAATACGAAAAATAATTTTCCAAAATTGATGATGATAGTGAGATTATTTACTCATCCAGTATTACGAAGGAATTGTATATAATATAACGTATTTATCTATATCTTCAAATATATACAATTATTAATTATTTTAATTCTAATAGAAATCAAAGAAATGCAGCTTTTAATATCAACCCTAACAGGAAAAACTATTGCCATCCCTTTCGAGCCATCAGATAATATAAGAATGGTTAAACTTAAAATACAAGAATCAGAAGGCATTCCTTTTAATTAGTAAAGGATACTTATGGAAACATCTGAATTAGATGACAATAAAACCTTATCCCTCTTAATTGAAAACAATACAATTTTGAAATTATTATTAAGATTGAAAGGAGGTGGGTAAGTGTTTGTCAAAGCAATGTCAGGAAAAACTATTACAATAACAACGGAATACGATAAAACTATTGGAGAACTTAAAAAAATGATCTATGAAAAAATTGGAATCCCACCACAACAATAAAAACTGATATTTGCGGGAAAAGTATTAGATGATAGCAAAAAAATGGAAGATTATAATATTCAAAAAGAATCTACAATTCATATGACAGAAAGATTAAAAGGTGGAGTTTCAGACATAATTTGACTAATCTAAAGATTAGATTATTAGTATTAATAATATAATTCATTTTAATAAGATACATATTCTATATTTTGAAAACTTACATAAATGAATCTAAATTTTTTCTGATATTTTTTTTCATAATAAGAATATTATTTAAAATTGCAATTCATCAATTGTTCCTTAGATGTATTTTTTTCCAAAGGGACTTAATTTTCATTCTTAATTTAAGAGCAAATTAAAATATACAGTATTTTAATAAGAAATATAATAAAATTCAGAATCATTATTTTAAATGAAATTGCGTTATTATAGAGAAAAAGCTAAAGGTGACTTGTAAAACCAGGTTTATTTGGTTTTAAAAGGAGACTAAATATTATATGTGAATTAATTTGTATAATTTTTCTAAAAGTAAATTTCTATTACAAAATACAATATACCCTTGAAATGATTAAATTTATTATAATTTTTAAACCTATCTCTATCCATATAAAATAGAAAAGTATTTATTAAGTTGGAGTTTAAATTTAAAAACTACAATGTATAGACTTAATTCTAATTTCTAAAATAGATAAATATAGTGATAAAAATGATGTCTTAAATATGATTTATAAACAAATCAAAACTCATACTTTAACAATAAGTTTGATGCCGCTTAATAGTGCTGTAACAGCAAGTCCGTATACAAATCTATCGTCTCTATTCTGCAGACAGGAACAGAAAATCGTCAAGGATGGAAAACCAATGCCTGCACATAAATAAAGAGGCATGATGGTCTGGTATTTGTAATTCAAAGAGAGTTTGTGGTTAAAATATTCATTAATTTTTGGATTTTAATTGGAGAATATCCAATCCCCTTTGTCTATGGTGCAATCAAGTATTCCTTCATAAGATTTACTATAAAGTTATTGATATTATTGATATATTTATGATTTTTAATTTAGCAATTCCTTTGATATCACATATGAATTTACATTTCGAATTTCATCGTCGCATGTTCTCATTTAGGAATAGTATTAATATGTCAAATACATTCCATATGTGAGAAAGAGGGCATGTCTGACAGTAATTTTATAATCAATGCTAAACGCTTATAAATTGTCAATTAGTTTGATGGATTTCATTAAAAAAATTAATAATATATTTTTTAATTCATTTCTATTTGATGAGAGGAGGATCAAATAGACAACTTTAGAAGCTAGACGTGTGTCTTGTAAATATTAAAAATCATTGTTGATTATTGGATTGGAATTATGCTGGATATATATATATATAGTACAAGCATTTGTTAAGGATTATATATTGGAGTGTAGTAGAGAAAATTCGAATACAAGATAACATAATCTGGTGCTTCTTAAACTGAAATTTAATAATGTGTTTATCAAGATGGAATGATTTCATAACACTTAAACATGATAGCTCTGTTCCCCATTCAACTTATATTTATTTTTAGACATATATAGTTGAATTTTTAGGAGCATGAATAGAAACGATGTTTAACGCTATTCTCAGATCTTGAGTTAATTGCTGAAGTAATTTCACTCCACAGCACCCAATTAATTGATAGAGTTTAACAATCTTTATACTTTCTTCAAGAGACCAAGGAGATACGTTAATTTAGGGATCCAATTAATTAAGATAATACTCTCTGACCTGCTTTCCCAATTAGTTTTCAAAAAGTACTTTCAAACAAAAAATAAAGCCCTTCATAATAAATAAATTATCGTTCACATTAGAAATTATACTCAAATTTATAAAATAATTTTCTGATTTTTAATAGCGCAAATCATATCCAACTCTTTGCAAAATGGGGTGATTTAACCATAATTTATTTTAGTTAATTAGATAGGAATGTGGAAATCATAAATCATTTTAACAGACGAGTTCAACTTGCAAGAACTATTGTAAATTATAAGAAACGAGCAGAGGTAATCTCGAAAGTGTAGTGTATTGATTATACATATTAAATAAATTATAATTAATAATGAATACTCTAGATCAGGTAATTGAGAATAGCATAAAAATGGGTAAATTTTAAAATATAGTACTCTGTATTATTTCAATGATTGATTTTGCAGACGGAATTGAGAAAACCTTGATTGGGACTCTTTAATCAATATTGAAAAACGAATGGGATTTAAATGATCTTGATATATCACTAATGACAAGTTTATATTTTATAGGGATTGTTTGTGGTACCTTATTGTGTGCATTCTATGCAGATCATATCGGCAGAGCGAAAACATTACTATACTCTAGTTTATTAGCATTTTTATTACTTTTATGGCATAGTTTTGCACTAAGTTTTGAAGAAATCGTCATCTTAAGATTTTGCTTTGGTGTAATCTTTGGGACAACTATCCCACTGGGACACGTTGTCATAAGTGAAATTGTACCAGCTAAAATAAGAGGATAAATAATGACAATAGTTGCAACAGTATTTATTATTGGAAAGATTTATTGTACAGGATTGCAGATGGTTTTTTTGGATGACTACAAATCAGGTCATTGGAGAATGTTATTAATTGTAAATAGTATTCCACTTTTTTTGTGTTTTGTCAGTTCTCTTATCTATTTAAGAGAGTCTCCAAGATATTACTTTACAAAATAAAACTATGATCAAGGTTTCTTAGAATTAGAACATATAGGAAAGGTAAACAATGGAACAGCTTATTAATTGACAGACGAGTAAAAACAGGGTGTTCTGGAGCAATAATAATAAATAAATTAAGAATAAGAACCTATTAAGACTGTAAAGTATTTATTTTCAAGATAATACATCAATTTTACAATAAGAATTTGGATTGTATTTATGTTAACATCTATAATTGAAACAACACTCTATTATTTAATGCCTTTTTGGTTAGGAGATACTTAGAAGGGATTTATGGCTTAAATGTACATGATGCTTGCTGAATTGATGGCTGGAATTGTCGTGTATTTCATAATTGATAGTAAAAAAACAGGAGGTCGATCAAAATTAGTCATGATCTTATCAGTGATGATATTTGTAGCTAGCGTCGTCTTAATTATCATGTAAGATCCTTTCCTTGTTTATGGATTAACAATAATCTCTTTTTTACTTAAAGTGATGTTTACAGCAGAAATGGTTATTATGAATGAAAATTATACAACTTAATATCGGTCTATGGGAGTAGGGATGACACAAACAGTTGGCAAATTTATGGGTGTTATTTCACCTTATTTTATTTATCCTATGTACTCAGATGACCCCTATTCTCCCTTTTATTTATACGCCGGCTGCATGATTGTTCTTGCTGTTTTGTCTGCTACTTTACCATTTGATATGACTCAAGTCGAATTGGATAATATTGAAGTGTATAAACAGAAATAAAATAAAAAATCTCTAGTTAATAGTGAATGATTCCAAAATTTATATAATTTTATTATGCAAAATTAAATATTAAAAAGTAGATCTATGGTCAAATAAGCAGAATCTCCAAAATATTATCAAACTATAAAACTGAAATAGACAGTTATCATCAGCTAAGCTTTAGAATGCTTAGCTAGAAAATTAAAAGCAAAGTTAATACTTTAGGTATGATAAGATAGGAAATCAAGTTAGTGTTAATTTAGTTAAGCATCCAATGCCTAAGAATGAAACAAATATTTTCTAAATTCAACAGTGATCATTTTAAAGCCAATTTCAAATCAATGTTAAATATCTAGTCATGCATAAAAGTCAAATCTAAAAATTATAATCCATAAAAACTTAAGCCAAGAAAGAAATAGAAAACCCCAAAAGAAATTTTTTTAAACTACCTTCCCCAAAGAATTTTTAATGGTTCTAAAATTCATTGAGACTCAAGTACTATCAGTGTCCCTACTTAGAAGATTTAGATGCCCAAATCGAAATGGGTGGCAACAATACACATTCTTAATTGGCCTTCTTACAAACGCTTATCAATAAGAGTTATGAAAATAAATTCAATGAGCCAAGAGATTCCCCATAATTATGTTATGCCTCAGAACACATATTTAAAATGCTTCCATAATCAATAAATAGATCAAGTAGTCTCTTACTTCGCTCAAGCAGTTAAGGGAATGTTGCCAATTCTTCATAATCCAATAATAAAATTGCAGATCCACAAATTAACAAAATTAAATCATTTTTAGAGAAAACCAAAACCTTTAAGACTACTGTAGACCAAAAAAGTTAGCTCAGACCAAGAAATTAAATATTAAAATCAAAAGTTTGTCAAAGTAAGTTAAAATAAAATTTCGTCAATTATAAAAATTGCGAAGAAAGTAAAAACAATTTGGATTCAATGAGCCAAATATCAAAATAATAAATCTCATTTCTAATACATGTATTTATATTTATTATAATCAAGTATCATCCAGAGATAGCATTGAATCAATCTATATATTAGAATGAATATATACATATAAATTATTATTAAATCACTTTAAAGGCATATTTGCAAAAAAATGCAAAATTAACTCTAATATAAAAGATTTTCATAGAATCTATTTAGAACACCTGCCAATATCAGAACAAGATTATAACTTTTACCATTTGTTCTGAAAATCAATTTCCTCTTTAAAATATGGTATAGGTTTTTCATGTTCCAAAATTATTAGCGAAGTGCAATATTGTTCAGTTTTAATATAAACGATTTTGGAATGAATTTAATATGATAAATTTTTATTAATACTCTTTCTGTTTTTTTCATCAATTTTTCTTTAAATTTGGTTCAATTTTGCGATCTTTCTTAATTTAAAATCGATAACAATTATTCTTCACTTTAATTTTTAAATGTTAAATCTATGAGATCAGAAGAAAAATAATTAAATGAGAAAAATAGTCCTAATGTATATTTTTGCTTTAATTCATTATCTAAAATTTATCACTATAATTAATTTACCAAAAATATTTACAATTAATAGTAATTGATTAAAAATTCTTACATGATTAAAATTATAAATAATAATTCAGTACTATTCACGTAGAATACTCTTTTTTAATAACTAGAAATTGGGAAAGTAATATGATAAATTTTCGTTCTTAGTATTTATCTATGTCTAAATATTCGGTAAATATAAATTAACTATTACTATGCAAAGCTAAAACCTTTAGATCATATATTTGTTAAATAGTTCATATTCAGGGTTTATTAATATTATTGTTTGCTTTACAAGATATTGAATGGTGAATTATCAAAATTAAATTCACCAATTTTTATTTATTTTATCTTACTTGAAACTCTCCCAAACTGATAAAATATACTGATGAATGCAGTTATCAATGCTAAGATGGATAGCCTTTTAGCAGTGTAAGTAAATGTCTTTAAAATCAGTAAAATTACTGCCTTAATAATTTGAAATGAAGTACTTAAGATAATACGTTTATTTGGATGAAATATTGATGAGGATAAAAATTAGAAAAAATTAAAAACGTTATAACTATTTTTATATATTAAAAAAATAAATAAAAACCGTTAAATAAGTTTAATAAACTCATTTAATCTTCGCAGATTTCAACTCAAATATTATTAATATTACTAAAGTATAAATGAATTTTCATATAATTTTAAATTTCAAGTTAATCTATTGAAAGTGTATAATGTCAGTAACATAATTGAATTTTATTGACTTTATACATAGTTTCTATTTGTGTTAAGATAAATATTTTTATATGATGAAAAGAAATTTGTCTTTACACAATGAATTTTCTAACATAAAGAACATTTTTTTGAATAGTTATTTTAATTAGGTAAACATTAGGGTGAAAAAGATATTTATCTTTACAATCAATATAACTTGGCTATTATTCTAACTCCATCATCGATGCCAAATTTGTTATGAATTGAAACAACCAAAATAATTAGAAAAAGCAGAGAAATAAAGAATGTATAATTTCCACCAAAACATAATTTAAAATCTGAAGAAGCTAAAACTTTATTTTATCAAGCAGCATCATTTCCTGTTTAAATAGTAAAAGAAAGATTTCAAAAAATATATATGGCTGATTGAATAAGGTTTGGATTATTAAAAATAATTGACAAATGATTAGCAAACTAACTTAGATTGGTTGCACTAGAACTTACATTTCAGAATTCAAAAACCAATACTGTGATTTTTCTAAAGAAAGTAAATTATGTCTCTTTTAAAACAATCCAATAAAAATTAAAGATTTGTGACTTTACTTTTCGTCAAACAATAAAAAGAAGTTAAGCCTAATATTTTCCCTAAAATAGAAAACATATCTAATAAAAGTTATTCGTCTATACATAAATGAAACGACTTTTCTCGCAAGACCTGTCATCCAAAAAGTTAGTAACTGTTTGAGAACACAAAATGTATAAAATTATTCGAAAATAAAATAACTCCAATGTCATTGGAGCCATTGGATAAAGTAATTTACATACTTTCAAGTTTTATTGGTAGAGCCAATCAATTTATTTTGGCCAATTTATGATAGGTTTGATCAATAAAGCTATTGAATTTTATAAAAATTAGAAATTTGTAGTAAGTATGGATAACAGTTCAATTCATCACTGTAAATTTATATTTAAATTATAGTTTATTTCTTCCTCCATATAACCCAACAATATATCCAATTTAAAGAAATTTGGTATATGTTGAAATAATTAGATTATAANTTGAAATGAAGTACTTAAGATAATACGTTTATTTGGATGAAATATTGATGAGGATAAAAATTAGAAAAAATTAAAAACGTTATAACTATTTTTATATATTAAAAAAATAAATAAAAACCGTTAAATAAGTTTAATAAACTCATTTAATCTTCGCAGATTTCAACTCAAATATTATTAATATTACTAAAGTATAAATGAATTTTCATATAATTTTAAATTTCAAGTTAATCTATTGAAAGTGTATAATGTCAGTAACATAATTGAATTTTATTGACTTTATACATAGTTTCTATTTGTGTTAAGATAAATATTTTTATATGATGAAAAGAAATTTGTCTTTACACAATGAATTTTCTAACATAAAGAACATTTTTTTGAATAGTTATTTTAATTAGGTAAACATTAGGGTGAAAAAGATATTTATCTTTACAATCAATATAACTTGGCTATTATTCTAACTCCATCATCGATGCCAAATTTGTTATGAATTGAAACAACCAAAATAATTAGAAAAAGCAGAGAAATAAAGAATGTATAATTTCCACCAAAACATAATTTAAAATCTGAAGAAGCTAAAACTTTATTTTATCAAGCAGCATCATTTCCTGTTTAAATAGTAAAAGAAAGATTTCAAAAAATATATATGGCTGATTGAATAAGGTTTGGATTATTAAAAATAATTGACAAATGATTAGCAAACTAACTTAGATTGGTTGCACTAGAACTTACATTTCAGAATTCAAAAACCAATACTGTGATTTTTCTAAAGAAAGTAAATTATGTCTCTTTTAAAACAATCCAATAAAAATTAAAGATTTGTGACTTTACTTTTCGTCAAACAATAAAAAGAAGTTAAGCCTAATATTTTCCCTAAAATAGAAAACATATCTAATAAAAGTTATTCGTCTATACATAAATGAAACGACTTTTCTCGCAAGACCTGTCATCCAAAAAGTTAGTAACTGTTTGAGAACACAAAATGTATAAAATTATTCGAAAATAAAATAACTCCAATGTCATTGGAGCCATTGGATAAAGTAATTTACATACTTTCAAGTTTTATTGGTAGAGCCAATCAATTTATTTTGGCCAATTTATGATAGGTTTGATCAATAAAGCTATTGAATTTTATAAAAATTAGAAATTTGTAGTAAGTATGGATAACAGTTCAATTCATCACTGTAAATTTATATTTAAATTATAGTTTATTTCTTCCTCCATATAACCCAACAATATATCCAATTTAAAGAAATTTGGTATATGTTGAAATAATTAGATTATAAAAGTCACCAATAAATGAGTTTAAATTATAGAGAGAAATCCAAAAGTTCTTAAAATGTATAAGTCAATTAACTATTAATTCAAAATATAAGAACTAGATTCTTAAAACTTTAGGATAACTGTTTAAGAATTAATGGAAAGTTTGTCCACTACATAATGTATTAGGATCTTTAGATCATATTGCTTCTTAAAATTTAAAGATTTCAGCAGAAAAAATTATTGATATAATAACAGGGTAAAAAAAAATTTAGGATAATGGTTTATTAGATATATTGAGTTTGAAATTGAAAAATTATCAAATTTAAAATTTGTTGATAAATAAAAAATGATAGAGTCTTAATATATGATTCTCCTTAAAAGGATTATTAAATTAAATATAGAAATGTTATCAAAAACAGGAGTGAAATAAAATAAATAATTGAGTAATTAAATTTTTTGATCGATTGTTATTCCTATAAAATTTAATAAAACTTAAATTCAATCTAATAAGTTATGGATGTATTGAAACTACATAATATTTAAGTAGACTCTTTGAAGGTCCCTAGGGTAAATTGTTTTGTTTCCTCATCATCTTTTCCAGTTTTATATCAAAACCAAAAAGTTTCAAAAAATAGGAATTTTGTATTTTAAATTCCACTAATGTAAGCCTTTCGATACTGAGATATAGTAAATTTTTTGCTTCAGGAACTATGTTTAACAAATACTCAACAGCTACTTCAATCACACATTTTTATATTTTATATATTTACTATAAATTATGTATTATTAAAATCCATAAATCTAGATCTTTAATTATTGCAAAATTTTCTTTAGGAAGAGAGGATATGATTTAACAAGATAAGACGTCAATTAAATTAATTAATTCCTTCGCTATCAGCATATTTTGATTATTGATGAAAGGGAAATATGTGCCAAATTGGATGAAGTCTAAATGGGTGTACTGCTTAAATTGCAACTAAGTATATATTTAGGCAAGATTCCGATTCAATAAAAATTTGGGGAATTTAATCAAAAATTCCGAATAAGGAATGGATTATTAATTTATTAGATCGAAAAAGTACAAATAAGAGTAAAAGTGCGATGAAATTGTTTACATTAGAATAGTAAAATATAAGAATTGTAGTTATCAATTGGAAAAGTCAAGTGTGAAAAGATTCCACCGAATTGCTAAAGAGAAACAATTGGAAGAACAATAATCTAGAAAGAATTTGAAGAAAATAAATTTCGAGAATAAGACGGATCGCAGTCACAAACTTATTTAGGAATGTTAAAAAGACTTTTAATTGATTGAAGATAGGATTAAAGATATTATTAGTAATTGAAATAGCCTTTGAGGTCATAAAAATTGATAAAAAAATTTATTAAATACATAAATAATTCTTCCTTCCTTGTATTATTTTCAATCTTTACTGTTATTTTCTGAAGGTAAATNATAAAATAAATAATTGAGTAATTAAATTTTTTGATCGATTGTTATTCCTATAAAATTTAATAAAACTTAAATTCAATCTAATAAGTTATGGATGTATTGAAACTACATAATATTTAAGTAGACTCTTTGAAGGTCCCTAGGGTAAATTGTTTTGTTTCCTCATCATCTTTTCCAGTTTTATATCAAAACCAAAAAGTTTCAAAAAATAGGAATTTTGTATTTTAAATTCCACTAATGTAAGCCTTTCGATACTGAGATATAGTAAATTTTTTGCTTCAGGAACTATGTTTAACAAATACTCAACAGCTACTTCAATCACACATTTTTATATTTTATATATTTACTATAAATTATGTATTATTAAAATCCATAAATCTAGATCTTTAATTATTGCAAAATTTTCTTTAGGAAGAGAGGATATGATTTAACAAGATAAGACGTCAATTAAATTAATTAATTCCTTCGCTATCAGCATATTTTGATTATTGATGAAAGGGAAATATGTGCCAAATTGGATGAAGTCTAAATGGGTGTACTGCTTAAATTGCAACTAAGTATATATTTAGGCAAGATTCCGATTCAATAAAAATTTGGGGAATTTAATCAAAAATTCCGAATAAGGAATGGATTATTAATTTATTAGATCGAAAAAGTACAAATAAGAGTAAAAGTGCGATGAAATTGTTTACATTAGAATAGTAAAATATAAGAATTGTAGTTATCAATTGGAAAAGTCAAGTGTGAAAAGATTCCACCGAATTGCTAAAGAGAAACAATTGGAAGAACAATAATCTAGAAAGAATTTGAAGAAAATAAATTTCGAGAATAAGACGGATCGCAGTCACAAACTTATTTAGGAATGTTAAAAAGACTTTTAATTGATTGAAGATAGGATTAAAGATATTATTAGTAATTGAAATAGCCTTTGAGGTCATAAAAATTGATAAAAAAATTTATTAAATACATAAATAATTCTTCCTTCCTTGTATTATTTTCAATCTTTACTGTTATTTTCTGAAGGTAAATTAGGTTCTCTCTCATTAATAATATTTGATAAGATGAAGTATTGTATAAATTCTTCAAGTCTGTTATTGTTCTACATTTTTCATTTAATTTAATAGATGTATACAACCACTTACTTTATTAATTATTCAATATGTATAAAATAACTAAAAATTAGGAGATGGTGTTTTTGGCCGTGTAACAAATACATATTAAAATGAACAACAGCAAAAGCTCCTAAAGGATTTGAAAAGCAGGAGAATAATTAAAATTTAATGAATCATCAACTTAAACCAAATTTCAAGTTTAATTCAGCGAGTAATAATCTTGATGAGTTCATAGATTGTGGTCGCATATCTTCATATGCCTCATCATTATAAGGCACAAATAAAAAAAGATAAATAAGATTATAAACAGACGAATAATAAATCACATAGCGATTGTAAAAAGACCTTCAATAACATTACCAAATTGGTAGTACAAATAATTAATCATAATAGGCAAACACGAAAAACTTTTATTCAAAACCGTATAAATTATATTTGTTTTTTAAGTTTATTAAACACCTGCAAAAAATAAGGAAATCAAACTAAGATTTATTGGATTAATATGTAAACAATTAAAAATAATCAAAAAAAGGAATGAAAACTTAGTCATTTAGTTAAATGCTTTTTTAGTATCACTACAATGTCATCAGTAATTTGTGTTTGATTAGTTAATTTAAGTTATTTAGTAAATACGAAAGGCAAAAATGAACTGCTTGCTTTAACTGATTCCAACAATCCACAATATTTAAATGCCTTAGCCACGTTCTGGACAAAAGAAGCTTTCATTAGATTTGGAAGGACTCAAACTCTTTTATCTAAAGAGTTTGCTGAAGGTTATTTCATATTTTTTTCCATGAACCTGTTGCAAGAATTCAATCAATTTTTTTCAATTGAAATTCTATCAACTCCAATAAGTTTTCTGATTGCTAGTCTAAAATTGGTAAACTTTCGATTACTTTTCATAAAGATCTTAATTTCAATGAATTATGACCATTCCATAAATGTAACTCCTGTATCTGCATTGTCATCAAATACAAAGAGGTATTTTTTAGCCATCTTAATTGCAATTTACTTGTGAATACTCTTTAAAATTTTGCTCCTGTATTATTGGTTTCAAAAAGAGAATGTAATTTAATAAGAACTGTATTTGTAAGAAATGGAGATTAAGTCCTTAAGGAACAAGAAACTTGGATGCAAAGGTAAATACAGTACAAAATAAACTGTTGACTACAATGATAAATTTATGAAAGATTCCACATATATTAACCGATCGATAAATGAGAGGGCAAAGCAATCAGCAGTATTTCTCTAGAATTCTAGCACATATAATATAAAAAATGTTAGATTATAATAAGTAACATTTTGTCGCTTGAAGATTTGAGAAGTCAGGCAATTTTAAACCTGATCATCTGCCAAATTAGAGTACGATGTCATGTTTGACATCCTACACAGCTAATTTTAGAGATTGGAAAAAGCAATATCATGGTATCATTGGACCATTTTGTGTATTAAGCGATAAAAAGTTACCATTTATAGCTGAGACTAATTATACTAGTAATTTTGTGACTCAGAAATATGAGAAACTAGTTCCAATTATTCCTAATCTTCTGTATATAATTAAGATATCAAAAATAGTGGACTATTTCTAGTAGGAACTCAATCTTTAGTTCGTGAAACTACTCATAAGATTTAATTCTCGTTGCCATAGAATTGGATAGACAATTAATCAGTCATCAGTCCTCGAAATATAGAGGTGAAAAGTTTTGATGGATATCAACCTCACTTCAATAAGCGATAGTAATCACCATAAGCGATGAATTCATTTGCTGATAGATTCTTCCATTCTTCAATTGTATAGTAATTGATGAAAAAGAATCAGAAACAAATTATCAAATTGATTTATTATAAATAATAATATGTCTGTAAGAATCAAATATACTAGCATAATAGAATCTACTACTGGATTGAAATCATTGAGTTTATCAAAAAAGAACATATTAGCATTAGGGAGTGGTGAAGAAGAAGATTGGTTACTATTAAATGAAGTGGATGCTCAATTTAATTTGCATCCTATTTAAATTGGCAAGATGGAAAAGAGAATGATTTCTCAATTAGCATGGTCTCCATCAGGACTTTATTTGGCAACAAGCAACGATAAATTAATAGTTTGGTAGTTCAATGGCGGCAATTTGTCTATATATCGAACCTATTAAGGGCATAAATTGGAGATCACTGCATTATGTTGGTCTCCAGATGATTAAAGAATAGCCACTGCCTCTTTAGATGGAAACATCTTTATTTATCATATCAAATAAGATGGAATTTAACATAAAATAGATTGTGGTTAAAAAACAGTTGGAATATGTTGGGATCCGTTTGACAAATACATAGTTTCCTTGAAATTCGACAATACAGTATTCAATGATTTTATAAAAGGTCAATTTTTATAAAATTGATAATTGGAAACAAGAAATTACAGTTTCCCTCCAAATACAAGGCAAATAATGTACAACCAAAAGAGAAGATAGGAAATTGGATTGGAGTGTAGATTGCAGATATTTGGCTGTCCCAAATTTAGATGATAAAGTAGTGATTACATTTATCCTTAGACTATCCCAACAGTGGCTATCTTGGATCGAAACCAGAATTTTCAAGTTGTTAGAACGATAGTTGGACCATTCTCATCAATCAATGTTGTTAGATTTTCACCAATGTTATTTAAGAATTCGAATTCTAATGAATATTTTAGTGTATTTGCTATCGGTGATAATGATGGTAATATCAGTTTATGGTAAATAAACGAGAATTAAGTTGATGAACAACCATTTCTATTGGTTAAGGGTCATAAAAAGGCTGGAGAACTTATAGAGGATATTACATGGAATCAATAAGGAACTGTGTTAATCGCTACAACGTCAAAAAAATATATTATTGTTATTGATTTTCAATTGAGTTTGGGCTAGGTTTTAAATGAAATAGAGAAATAGTAAGCAATTAAGAGTCTATATGGGGATCTGAAAAATACAATTAAATAAATTAGATTTTATTAACCAAAAATTAATAATGAAAATATCAAATTTGCAGATATGCAATTAGAAAAGATAGATATCTAAGATGAATTCAAGAATTAAATACCTGATAGTACGATTTAATAACGAGAAATTCCTAAATAGACTTAAACATAATTTAAGTAGGTCATTGTGGATGGCAAAAAAAAGTTAATTCCTTTGGATGTGAATTCTTCTGAACCAATTATCAAAAAGGTTGAATAGTAGTAGCCTTTGTTGGTCATTTAATAATATGAAGTTTTGCCAAAAAGCTACTCATTTTCAATGAATAACAAAACCCTTTTGTTGGAAGTTCAAAAATAATAGTAAAGAATATTTAATTAAGCTGTCTATGGAACTTTAATTAGATGTATTGAAAATAATACACCAAAGTGGATTGACTATGTAGAGGGGTAAGTAAAAACTATTCAATATAATGATGATCTAATTGTCATATACACTGATTAGGCACTGCTATACATTGAGAACCATAAAGGAATGAGGTAGGAGGCACCATTTATCTTACCATTCTTAAGTTAGATTGTTTTGAGTACAAAAAATCATATTCTATGTCTTTAAAACACGGGAGAATTTAAAGTCATCAATTTAAATTAAAAAACTATTTTATATGAAGGTGATATTAAAATTTTAATGCAACATGTCTATGAGTGGATGGATAAAAAGCAATTATTGAATGAAGATGAAAAGAAAGGCAAATAAAGAATTGATCCATTAATAAAAGCAAATCTTAAAATTGATACTGAGGGATATCCTTTAGTTGAATTTCTATTTAAGGACTATTGTGTTTACACATATCATAAATAATTGAGACAATGGATTAAAACTAAATAGATTGATGTGAAGTATTTATAATTAATTTTCACTAGCAACCAAAATTAGGATATCAAGAATTTAAAGAAATTCAACTTTAATTAATACTAAACACCTCCTTATAATGATGCTTAGATATATAAGAGGTTAATCTAAAAGTCTACAATTGAAGATGCAATAAATGATATTCAATAAATATCAAAATTGGAGGAACAATTAAAAATATATTGGTCAGATGGAGATATTAAAACATATGAGAAAGCATTATATACATATATTAAGAAAGTAATTTGAGAATTTAACTAGTTATGTGACACATGGCCAAATAATCAAGAGAAATTGTAAAATATAATTGAAACAATGATTACTAATTAAAACTCTGCTGAATATAAGTATCTGAGAGAACGTGTGCAGGATATGGAAGAGCTAAAAAAAAAAATAATTTATATTCTTCAACAATTTCCATAAACTAGAGATCTAATATTGTGTCTTTTTCCAGATTATTTCTGAGTATATATAAATTATTTAGATAAATATCATTATTAAAGGAATTTGAATTGCAGAAGATCTTTTTAGATTTGCATAAGTTAATTCAAACAGTTTTCGTTTCTTGAATAATAACTGTTTAAACGATCTAATTCTTACTCGAAATTGGTCATCTTGGGTCTAATTTTATATGGATATTAGAGAGCAACCCTTTCCCACTCATCCTATTCTAGACGAGCACAATTTGATTGATTAAATTTAAAGACTGAGATATTCATTAATACCTTATGTTCGATATCAGGATTGATTTTTTTTAATTCCTATTATATTTATTTTAGATCCATTTGCATTTGCTTTGAAGATGGTAGACTATTATTTCTTTCTCTTTAGAGAGATGGATGAGAATTCTACATAGATTTGGTTTGACGAACAGCGCTAAATTATTATTTCCTTCTGGTTTGATTTAGCTCTCCTAACAATCGTTTTGCTTTATCACTTTTAAGAGAGTCCAGTTTATACAATTTAATGAGAGTCTTTTCGTAATTGACCTGATTCTTCTGCAGGTATGCTCTAATCTTATTATCAACCTTATCAAACAATTGATTGTCATAAGTATAATCCTTCACTTTACTACTAATACTCCTTTTGTCTCTTACATAAGGTCGATTAGATTTGCGGGGAGACAAAGTTTCATCCAGCACATCGATTGTATTAGAAGAAACCTTAGGAGAACCATACTTCATTTAATTATATATTTAATATACACATAATTCATTACTATTATTATTATTTCTTAACTTATTTTATAAATTTATCCTTCTGTTTTTATTGCTTATACTTTCTCTTCCCCTCTTCTAAATGCTACTTCTGTCCTTTAATCTAAGCCTCCTTAACCTTCTGCTTTTGTATGTCCTTCTATTCTCTCTTCTTCTCCTTCTCATTCTTTATAGTATTCAATCGCTAGATCAACGAATATACTTCCTTCTCCTTGTCTGTCATATTGCTCTTAACAGGTAAGTTCTTTTCCACTTATTATCGCAATCTCTCCCTGAATGACAACGATTTAACCTAAAACCATTTTTGATTAAAATACCTTCTCCTTGCTCTCAAAAGGTAGGTTCTATTATAAATTATTTGGTATTCTCAAGGGAGCGAATTTGACTGGTACACGTTCTTGATCTTGATAAGTGGAATCTGGTTTGAATTCTAGTGGAATCTATTTCTCCTGCCTCAACTCCCACATAGTTTTCATCAATTTCACGTTACTTGTTATGAGTCTATAGAATCTCTCAATATGCATTCTAACCCAGGTTCTGCAGAAGACTAAATCACTTATTTGGATTTTGTCTTCGAATGTAGCTCTGAAACTGCCATCAGGACCTAATTTGCTTGGTTTTTTAATGTGTCCTCTTAAACCAGACACAGTTTTAATGAGACCACCTTAAAATTTAGCTACCTCAAGAGAAGAATTGAACATTCCTTTAATAAATGCAGTATTTTTAATGACTTTAAAGGGCTCTCCAACCAACTTTAACTTTTTCATTACGTCGAATTAATGATTCATCTCTAATACTACTCCAGTGGCAGCAATTCTAAATTTAGACTATATAATTGATATATTTATTTTGATACCAATTTATTGCTCAATGATTATGTGCAAACGAGACCTGTCCCCTAAGGTGCAAAATTACCATAAAATATGGCATAACAATAATCATATTCTGGAGTGTACTTGACGAACCGTAATCTGTCATTTGGATCCTATACACAATATATAGGAATGGTTTAAAATCTCCTCCATCCAAGAGAGATTATGATAGGATCATTGGATTTCAAGATGTTGCTATGCCATCTGTGCTTTTTAATTCGAATCTAAAGTATATAACAGAATATACCTTTATAAATCCTAAATTATCTTCACCAACTTCAGATCTAGCAAGAATCATAGGGTAATCGTCTTTAATAGATGATGAAAGATCTTTTATAACTATTTTGACATAAGTGCCCTTTTTATACAATCCAAGATTTGAATTAGTTAATTAATTCACTAATTATTATCTTTTTTAGTTATCATCTTTTTCCTTTTAATTATCATCCGGCTTTTCTTATACTTATTCTTATTCTTCTTCCAATTATTCTTCCTCAATCTATTTCTCTAGATTTTCTAAATCCACTACATCAGTCTACCCATAAAAGCCTGTCACAAATAATTCCTTTATCTCTCTATATGAATCCCTATCTTATACTTTAGGTATGTATCTTACACTATCAAACTCATTAATACCATTCTTATTCTAATATATTAATTCATGTAAATCTGTAGCCAATAGAGTATCTGTAATGGGCATGACAGTTCCATTTTCAATTTTAATATTAACCCTATTCTTTAATCTCACTAATTCTCTTTGTTATTAAATCTGTTATTAACTATTTTTCTTCTTGATAGGTTTGTCTTCTTCCAATTCAAATCCCTCCAATAATTATACATCTTCTTCCTCCTCTAATTGCTTATCAATTCCTTCGGTCAATTTTTGCAATTCTCTTACCATCCTGACTCCTTCAGGCAACTCTTATTATTACTCTTATTCCTCTATCTCTTCATCTTCCTGCTCTTCATTATTAACAAATTTATTTTTTTCTGTGAATAATGGTTATGGAATAGTGATGTATCCTGCTGTGGCATCAATTGTTAATGCACCAACACTGGACATGGGAGCATAAACCAGCTTTTCAGTATCCTTCAATGATCGATGCTTCTTCTAATTGTTTATGATCTCTACTGGATCTAGGACTTCTTCAAAACTATCAATATAGTAATCTCCTTAACCTACAAAATGAATTCTGTCATTTAATCGATAGGTGCATCCTCTTACATAGCCATAAAAGGTTGTAGTATTATCCTTGCCCTATTCAAAACGATCTGCCAATATAAAGGGATGTTCTGTTTTCCATCTTACTGGAGCTATCTTGATGATCGATATGAATCTTGCCAAATTGTGGATGTCTTATTTCAAATAGTATTCATTCTTCAAGGCTTATAAGTAAAATAATTTGTAATTGCCACCTGTTTCGTATTCGAATCTCTTCTTGTACTTCTTTCTAGTCTTTCTTAGTTATTTGTTGTCTTTAAAGAAATCAATGTGTGTTAACACACCCATAACATTTGGAAAACCATGATTATTCAACAAGCTTAAGTACTCAAATGTTTCCATCTCAAATCCTATACTTGCATCGATCAATATCAATGCTAGATCTGCCACCTTACTTAAATCGCTCATTGCATTGATATCACTGGGACACTCGACAAATGTTACTCTATGTTATTTGTTTGAACGAACTGTTACTGGACCTACCAATTTCTTAATTTTCTATCCTGTATAATGTTTCACAAGGGATTTAATCAATGTTGTTTTGCCACTACCTTTTGGTCCTTAAACAACAACCAACAAAGGGGCTTATGATTCTGCTTCTTCATTGGCTTATAATTATTCAGCATAGAAGTCCTTTTGTTATTTTTAATGAGGCTTTATTATGGGGGCTTGTTTCACTTGTTCTTCTTCTGAATCAGACATTAAAATTTATATATTTAAATTGTGATGAGTCAATAACAAGAAGAACAGAAGGCTATCCCTCTTGACAAATTGACCCCTCAATAATTGTTGTAGATCAAAAAGCAAATAGAGGAGGTTTGACGTTATTCTATAAAATAGGAAGTTCAATAGCTAAGTTAATCATCCTCTTAATTCAGAATTGCAATTGCCAAGTATGATGAAAGCAAAGTAATCTTAAAGAGATTAGATTAAACCCCTAAAGATACTGATCTCTTAGTACCAATTACTGCATCACTCTTAGTACCAGGTACTGATTACATACAATAATGAGGAAGATTGATTAGCCCATAATCAGTTATGATAGACTACGGAACAGGATATTTTGTTGAGCGCAATACTGAGCAAGGATAACATTTTTGTGATAGAAAATTACAGCTTTTGAAAGAATCACAAGATAAATTGAGTAATATCATCAATTAGAAAAAGTAATTCATGGATAAATTGAATATTGAATTATAGAAAAGAGTGTTGCAAGTTTAATAAATTTAATAGCAACAATAACTACAAAAGTAATGAATGATGATGAATTATATCTTAAAATAAAATCAATATTTAATATATTTAACCTAATCTCAATTGTCATAATAATTATTGTTTCTCCTATAGTTTTATCTTTTCCGATTGTTGTAATTATTTTTATCTAAAATTATATGTATAATAATAGATATATACTGTATTATTTTTTTTTTCTAGGGTTGCTATCACTTCTGCTCCGTGAAGACTATTAATCATAATGAATTGACTTACTGATGATGATGAGCTGCTACTACTAGAACTACTAGAATCTCTTGTTATTTATGCATGTAAAGTGCTTTTATACGGGATTCGTTGAAAAGAGACTACATTTTGATCTGGTACTCGATATTCGCAAATTGTCTTTTCTTCAGGAATCTCAATTTATCCAGGAGGTTTCAATTGTTTGATAAATTGATCAGATGTGTAGACTATGCAATAAGAGTTAGAGGATTCCTCCTGACTTTAAATTAGATTATGCTGCTTACTTAAGTAGTATTTCATATAATCCAATGATGTCGCCATATTATTGGAAAATGCTCAACAGTTTGTTTGTATTGATTGGATGTTGTGTTTTTATGAATAATTAATATTGTTTGAGTATATCTGAAAATGAGTCAGACTTCTTTTTCTTCTAGCATATAAGACATGGCACATTCTTAATTTTTAATGAGACATTCTTCTACAACATTTCCAACTGCACTTCCAAATATTCAAAAATATGATCTTACTATTTTTCACTCTTGAAAGTTCCTTCTGGTAATTACTATAATTTCAATCTATTTTTAATATCCATCAAACACTCTTGTAAATTGAATTCTTATGGAATCCCAAAGATATAGATGGTCTCCTTGGGAACTAATACATCACTCAACTCAATTACTTGTCAATTACACAGGCTAAATGTCCACAATTGGAGGTGTAATAATTTTCTGTTGTGGAATCACTTGTAAATTCAAGACTATAGCATTCTTCTTCTTATCCAGACTCTCCGATTTCGATGAATCTTGACTACTAGATCGATCTCTCTTTTTCTCCCCAAATCTCTGTTACCTTAATTTCTCTTCAAGTGCTTATTTGTCCACTTCACCTTTTTCCTAACATCCCAATAAATGTTATTCAATACCCTTAACATCATCAAAAATATATCACTGATCAATGGAATGATCTTCTTTTCACTTTGATGTTTTGATACTAAATTGATATGTTTCTTTCCAATATATATCAATTTGGCATCATTATCATATCGCATTCCTATAGCTATATCAATAGTGCGCTCATTCAAATTCTTATCGGTAATCTGAATCACTTCGCAAGGACCCTAGTCATCATGATCATCATACCGCCTTCTACACTCTATCCTTTACAAAATTCAGAAATTGATCTTCTGTTTGATTCCCCATGTATAGATTCTTCACAAAGAAATGGATCTTGATTTCTGAACATTTTATATAATGCCATTTATCTAACACATTTTAGAATCTCCGTGGCGATAGATTTCGACTCATCAATATATAAAAATATATTAAATATAATCAATTCTTTTTTTTTATATTTTGTGTCCCAAAAGTCTATGTAGGCTTCCTCTTCTCTCCAATATCAAAAATGCTACTTTATTTTTTATTCGCAGACTTTGCAAACGGATTGAATTCCTCCTCTTCCTATTGACTTTCAGCTCTCTAGAATTATTAAATGTGTTGTTATTGTTATTAATGATGTTATTCTTTATGTTCCAAAATAGATTTTATTTAACTCATGTTCACTTATTCATTCTACTTCTATAAACCAAATCCTTGTCTCTTCGGAGATTAAGGTCTCTTATCTATACCAAAATTCTACTATGACTTTATTATTTATTACTAAAAATATAAATTAAATGCTTTACTCTCTATAGCAATTTTATTTGATTCAATAACTTTTGGAATTCCTTATTTGTAGTCTGTTTTTCTTTCTGCAATTCCAACAAACTGATGATTGAATTCATATCATATTCATCTTTAATATGACACTTAAAGAATTCGATAGCCTTATCCTTTGATTCATTTAAAATCTACTTAAATAAATCAACTCTGTATTTTCGCAATAATTTCTATGTCTCTTCAATTTTGTTTGTATCATATAAGTTCTAAGTATATCTCAGAAGGATATCATTTTATTTGTCATCATTTCGAGCATAATAGTATTTCCCAAATTCGTTCCATCTATACAATTCATGATTCAGAATGATCAATTAGATTAGGAATTGCTTATAATTTGCTATCAACTTTTCGTCTTAAATGGAACACACGAATGGTTATTCAAAACTCTCTTGTATCATCTCCTACTTCATTGAAGCCAAAGGCTGCTCAGTTTTTAACAAACATAATTTGTAATCTTGAATTCCGTATAGCCAAACCCTTGGATTGTGAAAAACCTCTATCCACCTACCTTATTGATAAATTTTGATCACACCCTTTGAATCTTAAATACTTAATAATCCTTCATCTGAATACCCAATCCAGGTGAGTGAGGAAAATGGAGTTAAGAATATATCAAATTCTTCAATTTATTTCTACAAATCTATGTCATAAACTCTCCCTTTTAGAACTTACTAATTCAACATGGGAGAAGTATCATGAAATACTATACACAACAAATGTTCGTAGGCACACATTGATACAACTGCCCTATTTGTATTAAATTCTAATAACTCCAAACCACAAAATGAAATTACTCTACATATTCCATGATCACTCATAATTGCAAACCAATCATTTCCAATTGCCACTAGTTCAGCTCCTTCCTCTTCTGGCAATGCGAATTCAAAATCATCAACATCACCAATAAACTACTAGAAAAACACTATTGACTTTCCATCCCCAACCAAATACCCTTATTCATCCAAATCATTTGGTCCCTTTGATGCCAATACACATCCTCTATAATTCAAAATACCAATAGCGTATCTTTATTAATTGCTTATCTTAAACTTTTTATAAAATGTTGAATCAAAAAACTCAAATTCAATCATATTAGTATTTTTACACAGTATTATTGTCCCCACAGTATTATAACACAAATATTACCTTCCTCTTGATGGTTGTGTTTCTCCTGGCCTGAAAATGTCCTACATTCCTGAATCTAAATTCTACTTTTATTATCTCTCAATCTCATTCCCCTTTTTTATTTCATCCTGGTCATCTTTATTTTCTATTATTTCTTCATCCATCAATTCCTCTTCCATTCTCTAACTAATTCTTAACTTTGTTTTCTAATCCACTAAATCTTAAATTGCACTAATCTTATCTGAATAAATCTTGTCATACTTTGTTTTAGGAGGATCTAAAGTAGTTTCAATTAGATTTCCATTGCAATCTAATAAATAGAAAACATTTTATATTATTTTCATATGCAATGGTGTGCATTTGATATTAAATTGCCAATGCAATGATAAATCTGTCAAAGATTTAAAATTCCATAATTTTATTTCTCCATCTAGTGAGCATGATCCCACACAATTTTCTTGTATCCATCTAATAATACAGATCTCACTAGAATGAGAAATCTAATATTGATTCTATAAATCTTAAGGTTCATCCTCTGTAATAATATATTAAGCATTCATCTTTCCAGCAATCCAAAATGAATCACCTGAAGGATGGAAATCTGATTATAATTTTTAGAATGCATCTGGCGATATTTATTTACTTATTGTATATCTCTACAATAATTGAGGTACTTAAGATAATTGATAAACTATCAAACAACCATCACAACCAATACTACACACAAATCTATCTTTTGGATCAAAAGCACAACTTAATATCATCCCATCATGTCCAGGTTTACATCTTGATATTTTAGTATCTCTATTTAATATTAATGAATTTTCCTCAGAAGCTATGCCCATTATTTTTCCATTTTTATTGTATTTGATTTGAGTCACCTTCCCTGTCAAAGTCACAATTAGTGATGGGGCTGTCATTTAGATATCATCATATGTATCCACTCTCATATCTCCTATTGCAAAAACTTGTGAATTTAAAGGATGTATTGCCAAAGCCAACATAGGTGACTCAAGCACAGTTTCCGCGGTTTTTCTGTGCTCCATTAAATCATACTCCACCAAACTCTAATTCCAAGCCAATAATGCTGTATTTCCACTAATATCAAAACCACATAATCCTTTTGTCTCTGTGATTGCTATGCTCTTGAACTCTTTTGCACTTTACATATTAGTTGAATTATTTTAAATAAATATAAATTATTAATCAAAGCATTCTACTCTACTCTTTCATTTTTTTATATTTTTAATCCTTCTCTTCAATAAAAACAATATTAGCATATTTATCAAACTTCACTCTTTCTACTCTACACCATATTTCATTTGAATAATTAATTTTCTATGCATCATTTCGTAGTTGAAGGCAGTCATATTATTTTTCAAAATATAATAGGCAATGAGGTTATTTTTCTATTTTTTTTTGTTAAAATCTTAACTCTTAAATTATTCAAGCAGAGTTGAAATTATTCTATGCTATTCTACATTGAATAACTTAATTTAAAATTTATAATGGAAATTTATTTTTATTCTTATGATGGGTAAAGTAATAGACCATTAAATAATATCAAAAGTATTATACCTTCTGATTATTTGAGAAATTTACCAATGAATTCATAATATAAAAATTTTATTATTTTTAATAATTCATAATTAAAATTTTAGTATTATTATACAATATTTTTTTTTCAGACCCTTAGCTCTGCATATCTTGTTATAAATTTCTATTATCTTATTGAATTTCTTAACCTTTGAGGAATAATTGAGAATGTGCTCATATTACAAGTTAAGACGCTGGCAGACTTTATAATACAATATTTAAACTATTTTTAAAATTTGTGTTTTAGACATAATATTTTATAATTAATTATAATCTCTTAATACAAATAATTTAAGGAAGAAAAAAGTTTAATTATTTATTTTCTTATCATAATAAATCATTAATTAATATTTTTAAAGCTCAATGATACCCACAATATCTTCAAAAAGGTTTATCAAAATCCTATCTATTTTTAAGTTATAATTTGAGAAACTTGGACAATCAAACGAAGGTTTTATTTTTTAATAAAAGCTTTAATATATTATGTAGACTTTTCAATATTCTCACCAATTGGGAGAGTAGCTCAAATAAGGCAAACATTTAAACAATTTATTTTCTATATATATTATTTCCACTTTAATTTTCATTATTTTTAACATTAACAAAATAATTTCTAAAAACACTTTAGCTTTTAAAATTCTAACTAAAAATTTAAAAATCATTATCTATTTACCTTAAAATAGCTTTTATTAGGAATTTATCCAAGAAATTTTTTATCTGAGTTAAAGCATTGCGTAAATAATTTTGTTATTAAAATTTGTGTTTGTAATAGAGCAAGGTTTAATGAATTTTAGTTAAAGATTCTATATGATATTTTATTAATAAATATTTTAAAATGTCATATATTATTTTCAACTTAGTCATATGGGGGATGCGAGTGATGGCTGAAGAAACATACAATTTTCCCTTGTAATCAAATTAGCCAAACATAATGTACTTAGAAGATTATACACCTGATAAATTTAAAGCTCCCCTCTATTAATTGGAAAGAAATAATGAATATAATTTAAGTATTCAACAATCTGCTTTAAGTCTCTAAGAAGGATAATTCAATTTGAGTAAATTATATTATAAGTGATATAGATGGAAAAATATTATCAGCCAGCAATTACATCACTGAATCTCAATTAAGTTCAAACGACTTTTGGGTACTAACAAAAAGTGATTTATATCAAGGATTGCTCTAGAACAACGGAAGTGTTACCTTAAATTAAGTACCTTTTAATTTTACTTAATTAAGTATTTATTATCAATTATTATAGGTTGTTTTTATATTAATTTATTAACAGAGAATATGGGAATAATAAGTTGTCTCAAAAATAAATATTTGAGTTTCGTATTTTTTAATTTTTCCAACTTTTCTCATCAAATCTATCAAACCAATGTTACCTTCCCTGAAAAATTTAGTAATCGGAAAATAAATTTACAATATTTTAATTAAAGCACATTTAATATATATTTGACTTATTTGACCAAAGATAATGCTACTGCAATTAGTTTTAGTTACAACATAAAATAATTGGATTATGCAAGTGAATAAGTTTATAATGGCACATTCATCCAGATTTTGTTATCTCAGGACTTTAATTTTATATTTCTGATGAGTAAGAAATAACTTTATGTGATAAATTTGTCAACTTAGAATAGCTTCAAAGAAATAGCTAATTATAAAACAACAACAAATAGAGTAAGAGAACATTTTACTAAAATGGCTGTATATTAGCTATCAGATAATACATTTCATGTTGTATTGTTATAAAATGAATACTTGTCATAATTGTATTTTGATTTTAATTCGAATAAATACACAGAGAATCATAAACATTTTGTATTGAATGCCTATGAAAAAGTAATTTAATTAACGGTAAATATAAATTCAATCTATGTTATTACAAATCATTATGTAACTAAATTGAACTCAATTTCATCAATAAAACCAACAAATTACTTGAATTATTCATTGGCTAATATGGCACTAATAATGAATGAAAGATAGATTACCATTTTAATTGATACAAGTGAATAGTCATCGAAATTTGGATGCATTTTATTTAATAAACCATAAATTTTGGTTAATCTAACTTAGACTCAAGCTATGGTATCAAATTTTTAAGCAGTCAAACTAAAAATAAAAATATTTTCGCAAATTTCACATTAAATTGAAGATTCTATTTTGTTGAATTTAATAATTTCGGATATTAGTTAATCATAATGTCCTGTTTAATTCTCCAATAATTTCCCAAATGCTAATTTGGTGTACCCAATGGAAACGATGATTCAAGGTAACACAATGATGCTAGGTCCCAACATTACAACAACAATTACAAATTCAGACAAACAGTACTTAACCTACTAAAAATCTAAAATAAACAAATATATTTCAACTTCCAATGAAACCTATTCAACAATGTGTAGTGTCTTTAGATCTTATATTATAACTTGTGCTTAAAGTCAAGATGAAGTCAGAATTTAATACTCAGAATCTTTATAATTAACAAAGACAAGCACTTATTTTGTTGTGCCTACAAATTTCTAATAAAGCCTTGTTCAATGTACTTGCTCTTAAACAATTTTCTAAATTGAAGTCGTGATGCAGTTTTAAACCTACATATTAATCTAGACTATCGATTATTCATTATTATAGTAAGGATTGTATTAGTATTCATTCAGTTAGGAAATCTTAAGCTCAGCATTTCTTGGTGAGACATTGTTTGTAATTACAAATGATAATAATTTATCAGCATATACTAAAAACAACAACAAAAGCCCTAAATTTACTGTTTAAAATTATCAATTCAATTAAATCTACATAAACAAATAAAATTATCCAAATTATCTATTTATCGATAATTAAGAAAGCTTAGTCATCTTATCATATAATGGGTAGTCATCTTGTTAATTTGTAAATTAGATTCCTTATCCCCTACTCGATTATGATTAATTAAAATTAGGTATTTTAAATACTGGAATCTTTATAGCTATAATAAATAATTAGAAGAACATATAATTGTATTTTTATCCTATTTAGTCAGTATTTATTGATAGCCCAATCTAATCATATTATGAATTGAATTTATTGGGATATTAATTTGCATTTTCTTAACTTCAAACTGCATATACTTAACGTAATTTCTATATCATCTTATATAAATCCACATCTGTTTTTTGGGCGTAATATTATGGAAGCGGATCATCATTTTTTTCCTTCGTTTAATCAAATTGGATTTAAACAATTTCAACTTCAAATTACATATCCTCACTTAGTGCTATTGAGTTTGAATAAGGGAATCAAATATTAGAATACCTTTAGATCATCAATACTAAGAATGAATTCAAGAAGATTGTGATCACAGATTGGAGTGTAGAATTGACTCCTCTATATAGAGCTAACGATCTTGCTGTTTAAACATCAATTACGTATAACGCATCAAATCTGATCTGCTTTAGTCTTCAATAATAAGATGTTACTATCTTATATGAAAAAAGAGTAATTTTGCCTCGCATAGAAGATTTTGGAAAAAACACTTTTCAATTATCAATGAATCAGAGCTAATTCGAAGTGAATCCTTTAGAATTTTTTAATGGAAATGTTAATAATTACACAGCAACTTGCAAAAACTGTTAATAATTCAATTACACTCAACCTGTGAGTCAGCAAAATTAAGTATTGTTAGGTCAGTATTTATAAGGACTTGCATAATTAAATGAGACATTCCTTTATGTTCAAAATAATATAAGTGTATTCCTTTTGGAATAATCAACAGGATAACTAACAAAGTTGTATGACTTTCCTAAAAAAATATCATTATGTTCGAATTTGTTTGTTGAAATAGTCACTTAATTCCCAATATCTGTATGTTAAAATAGCTTTATATACAGTTACAATTTGACATCTCAAACTATCATTCAGTATGATCTTTCCAATTTGGTTGTAATCTTCGTTTGCTTCTATAATAATGGCATTTTGTAAATCATTTCTTAAACTAACAATGTTTACAACAATTATAACTAGTATTACTTATAAATCATAGATAATCAGCTTATTTTAATACCAATATATACATATGCAAGGTTTTAATAAACTTATGTCATAGATCAGGTGATTGTAAAGCTTTCCTCTAATTTTACTTCTGATCCATGTTAAATACTTGGATTTTAACACATACTAACTCAAAATGCTAATCCTAAATTTTTCTTACTGAAAACTTGTATGCCATCTTCAATTGCCTAATACTTTGGATTCCCAGGCAATTAATATACTAATATTACAAATCTTTATTTTGTAATTTAAGATTGGATGCTTGCTGAGACTTAAGTGGTGAGTCTTACTGTTAGTAGTTATTTATAATAAGTTGGATCACCAAAACCTATTAGTGATCAAGTTAATCAAATACTTATAGCTTGTCCTTATGCTAGCGATATTAGATTATATAGGATATAGTTTAATTTAACAAATGGAAAGATTATTGGAAATTACTTTTCTGGCTCTTTGTATCTAGACTTTTCCACAGCTTATAACTTATGGTGTGCAAATAATGTAGTTTTTCCAACTTTTTAAACTAAAATCTAATCAAATCAATCGGTTACCTTGTATATTTATAATGTTGAACATTTGTAATAATTATGATTTAATTTTAGGTTATATTCAAATTTACAAATTGTTCCATATATAAGTTATATTCCAGATGTATTTAGTTCCTCAAAAATTTTTTAGAAACAGAATGGTAATTACATCTTAATTTCTGGATCTGAGGAGAATAGATCAATAATTATTAGAATATAAGACAATTTAAGATTCAATGTTAAGGTGTAAGAGAATGAAAAAGCAGAAATTGAGATTCTCGCTTAAAATCAGCAAACTCAGTGTTAAAGGTCTTTGTTTGTAATGGATGAATAGGAGAATGATGATGATAATGATAATGATGATAATGATGATAATAATGATGATGATAATAATGATGATGATAATGATGATGATAATAATGATGATGATGATGATGATGATGATAATGATGATGTTGTTAATCCAAAATAAAAATATAAAGCACGTCTAATCATAATAATCATCATTGTTGTACTTTTGCTTATTATTATTATTTTGATTGCCATTATATGCTATAGAAGAAAAGAAGTCAAAAAACACAACAGTGAAATGTCATATTAATTAGTATGATCTAAATTATAACAATTGCCAACAACATGTACGATTTTTAATAATTTAATTATAAAAATAATCTCAATCATATATTTCGTGTATAATTAATGTAATTGTGCTAGTCCATCCATTAAAGGGATGGTATCCTCTTCCAAGTCCATCTTATCTTTGGTTATAATGTTCAAAGAAGTATCTAGAATATGTGTGATAGTGTTACCCTCTATCTCTCCAATTAATGCAAACAGTATTCATTAAATTCTCTCTAAGTTCCTTATAGAGATCCATTAATCCTTTATGTGTCGAATAATACTTTTAGATTCCTCTGAGAACTAAATAATTAATTGGAATCCAAACTGGTCCAGTCCAATAGTTGTCTCCCTATAATAGTTAATAGCATCAATAACTTTTCCGAAATGATTATCATTAATGCTCAAAGATCGAAGACCATGATTAGTCCACAACTCTTTTTTAATCATATTCACATAGGCATCCAAGATGTCTGTTTTTGTAGGATCAACAAATCCAAAAGCAATTGGAAATAGATTAGGATATCCAAGATGAGGAGAAAATGATCCATCAATTAAAACATCTTTAAATATTTTATCATCTGGATCAAAATGATATTTATTAATAGACTTCTTGATCATTTCAGCAGTTTAATGAAATTGATTGCTTTTTTGTGGATCATATATAGTAGCTAATTTTTGCATTGAATCAGCAAAAAACCAGCCCCACATACTAGCATCAATATTGAATTTGCTTTTCAATCCATTATGCGATCTTGGCCAGTCATCCATTCCTGATCCAAAATTAATATTATCATTCATTCCCCACCATTTGAATAATAAGAAATTGTCACCTTCATTTACTCCTTGAGACTTAATCCAAAAATGATACCAATCTATTGCTTTTGTGTATAATTTTCTAACCTATTGCTGTATTTCCCCGTTTTTCAAGGCTAATTTATAATCAATGGTATTTACAATCAAGATAGAGGAAGTTAAAGATAAAAGTAGGCGGATTAGTTTCGCTTTATTTTTAGGCTAGGAATGCTTAAGGCACTGCTGTTTTCTATTCAGGACTCTTGAAGTTAAGATGTAAGATATTACTCTCGCTTATTCTCTAGGTATCCATCCATTGCCTGACATTGTATCAAACCAATCTAACAAAGATTAGATACACAATTGAGATTTCCATCTACATACAATCATATTATGGAATCCGTCATCCCATAAAAAGGGTCTGGGGAATCCAAATCTAGAAGGAGTTGGAGTAAACATCATCTTTTATTGTGAACAAATTGGATTAGCTTCTTCGCATTCTATATTTCCAAAAGAAGTGGCAAACCCTCCAATTAGATTTGCAAATGAACTGATTGAACACGATAGATAGAATGGGTTCTCTAGAATCTATAAATTTCATATTTATACTTAATGGTATTTTATTGAAAGTTCTATTGAATTAAGAGAAGAAATTCATGTTGTCCAATTTCTTTAATATTCTAGCATCAAAAAAGTAGTCACTTGATACTGATATCTCTCGTTGCATGTATCTTAGTTAAAATTTAAACAATTCATTTCTTTTAGCTACGTACTAAACGAAGACGATATTGCCTTATTCTTAATCAACAGTTTTATTGAATTTGAAAGGGATGTCTTCTTTGGTTTTTCTCAATTCACCATATAGGAGAGTTCTCAAATTGTAATTTAAGGTAGGATTCTGAAATTGCAAAGAATACCCGAAGTTGTCATTTTGATTTAGATTGACTTGTTTGCCATTGGATTCCAAGGCCACATAAATATAATTTACTTGTTGGGCTGTTGTAATAGTAATCTAGAATTTGAGATGAAAAGTACTTTGAGAGAATCTCCTTCCTCTTCAACTTGTAATTTTCTGAGATCAGTTTTTTCTTGATTCAACTTCTCGATTGCAATAGAGTACACTAGACTGATGTATTCATCATCTCCGACCAAGGCATCGTTATTAACAACAGTGGTAACCCAATCTTCTATTTTCTCAGGATTGACTCTAGTTATACAGAAGCAATTTACTTATAGAATTCATTTGTGAATCTTACTTTATATTCTCCATCTATGGTTTCGTGGATGGCATATCTTTCACCATCATGATAGAGATATTGGTAATAGGTGGGTTCGTCATTGCTTCTTTCATTGATTTTGTATTTGATTGATTTCTCCCATCTTATATTGTTGTTCATGAAGTAATAGAAGGTGATGGTAAGCGGATTGAAGGTTTGCATATTTCTTTCAGTGATGGCGTGAATTAGTTAGGGCTTGTATGTTCCCCATTTGTACAACATTGGATTTACTTATGCATTTATGCATTATACCAAAAATATGATAAACATAAAATAACATTCATTAATTATGGAATTATTAATCTTCCAAAGGCTAATTCGTCTACACAAGGAGTTCATTCACCTCTATTATTAGCATATGCACAAGAGATCCAGACTAATGTCATTCTTCATAGGAGTTGGTATTGATTTGTGCTAATATCAGCATCCTTATACTTAATCAAGACTCTGGCTAAACTATTATGGATGACTGTCCCAAGAATCCGAAGCAACATAATCTCGAAGTACGGAAGGAACTCTTGGGCTGTAGTGACAGGAGGATCAGATGGAATTGGAAAAGAGTTCTGTATTGAATTAGCCAAATAAGGATTCAACATTGTCATAGTGGCAAGAAATGAATAAAAAATGAATGAACTTTGTGCATAATTATAAAATTCTCATGTTGAAACCAAAACTATAGTCGCAGATTTTAGTCAGGGACATTCAACTGAATTCTATGAAAAGGTTAAATCTGAACTACGATATTTGGACATTTCAATCTTGGTTAATAATGTGGGTATGAGTGAAGGAACTTTGTTTGCTTATGAGAAAATGGAAAACATTTTGAAGATACTTAGAGTCAACGCCTTGTCAACATTAATGATGACCAGAATTTTAATCAACAAATTAGAATTTAGACAGAATAAGTCTGCTGTGATTACTGTTTCATCTGGATTAGCATTTTTGCCATGTCCCTATCTTACTGTTTATTCTTGTACAAAATCATTTACTCATTATTTTACCCAATCCTTAGCCTTGACCTACAAAAACACTGATTTTCTTAGTGTCACCCCCCTGGGAGTAAGAACAAAAATGTTGGCTATGAAATAAGGATTTGAAGTTATAGAGCCTAATTAATTAGTGAAGAATGTATTAGATGATTTGAGAGCAGGCAAAAAAATTAGTTATGGAGGGAATGTACATAAGGGTATTATTTACTATTTATTATGGAGAAATTAAAACTACAGAGATTAAGTTAAAGTAAGAATTGGAAACAATTTGCGAGATTTATATCTCTAGTAGAAATGACTTTTATAAATATACAAATTTCTTAGAATTTATTCATTTTAACAAAAGCTTCATTAAATTCGTATCCTTTTATTTGCTTCTTCATACATTTTTTATTATAGAATTATTATTGAATATTACAAATAAGGAGTGTTAAAAAAACTTTCGAATATTTTGTCGTAAATTTAAGACATATTAATCAAAATCTTTCTCCTCTTATTCTTCTTGCTAATTGGATGTCTCTTGACATAATAGTCACTCTTCTTGCATGAATTGCACATAAATTGGTATCTTCAAACAATCCTACTAAATATGCTTCAGCTGCTTCTTAGAGCGCCAAAATTGCAGAACTCTAAAATCTAAGTTCTTTTTAGAATTCATGGGCTATATCTCTTACTAGTCTTTGGAATGGTAGCTTTCTGATTAACAACTCAGTTGACTTTTGATATTTTCTGATTTCTCTCAATGCTACTGTTCCTGGTCTGAATTTGTGTGGTTTCTTTAAGCCACCTGATGGACCAACAGCTGGAGCAGTCTTTCTAGCAGCTTTGGTGGCCAAATGTTTGGTTGGTTTTTTATTACCAGCAGTACTTTTTCTTGCGGTTTATTTAGTTCTTGCCATTTTTTATTGATATTAATATTTGTCTTTCAATTATTTGGCTCACTCTTATAATGTAAACTAAATTTTTGATTGGATTAAGGAGAATACAATGCATTTAAATTTATAAGTATTTTCAGATTCTCATAAATAAAATAGAATTAATTTGATAATTATTATATTTAATCATATTAATTTCACAAGTTTATCATAATTGTTTTGCATATAATCAAGAATGAAGGCCAATTATTCTAAGTGACCTTCTTTCTTGGTCTAAAATCGATTCAAAGCCTTAATTCCAATACTCGCTTTCTCCAATTTTACAATAGATTTCTAGGCTTGTGCAATCTAAAATCTCAGTACCTAATAAAGCACTTATCTTTCCTTAGCATTAAAATGAGGATCCGAAAACACATTAGCAATCAATTACACCTTCCTATTGGTAGTCAATTCATTGTCCAATTATGATTATTGTAGATTTATTAAATCCATCGAACTTACAGAATTTCTTAGTAATTTTGGCTACCTCTTTAAATATCTATCATAATCAGTCTTATCCAAATTAACCTTAAATACATCATCGAATGATAGAAAATTTAACACTTGTTACAATATGTACTATATGGCTCTGCTTAAGTGATGTTTATAAACTTTATCGAAATGTCGATTTTAAAATACTCTATCTCTTTCCCTTTATTCATATCTCTACTTAAATTGATCATAAATTGGCTGCATAGGAGTAACTGAATAGAATATTTCCTTATTATCTTTGAAGTTAGATATAATTAATTTTTTCATAAATCTTGAAACTGCTGGTTTTGACTTAAGTCTATTATTCTTTCTCACAGTCTCAGGTTTCAACAATTGATTATCGTTACTTGCATTAATTAGATCTCTTTTATCATAAACTTCCCCCTAACAATCTATATGTCTATTTTATCGACTTGCCTAAATCTAAGGTTTATGGGGTGACGATAAATGAGTAACCAAAGATGAATGCTTGTGATGAGTGATGGACGTGAGAAAATTCTGTTCTGATAATAATTGACTGATCATAATTAAAAATAAAATTAATGTACGCACAAATTCAATTATAGAACTGTGTAGAACTTTAAGTACATAAGAAAACCAAAGATTCCATTGCTTATTAACCTAAGTTCCCAAGAACTAATGAAACTGTATGCTATTCCTATGTATTTTTAGGAACCAGAAGTTCTGACTCTACGGCAAAATAATCAAAATAGCTATTTAGATCAATTCATAACAATTACACATCTTATATCAAACTGTAGGGGATAATAAAGTAATTGGAACACTAGGAGATTTGGAATGGTAATAACAGGGAAATAAGTGAATCTGATAAATTTGAAAAGGTGAATAAGGAACATCCTCATTTGTTTAAGAATCATGTTTATTCTCTCTTAGGTTTATTTGAAGAAACAATTAAATTATTATTATTATAGACTGTGAAGGATTTCAAATTTGATGTTCCAGAATTATGAAATAGAGTTTGGTTAGGGAAATACAACGAGGAAGAAATCTGATGCTTTTAGATTGCTTTGGTCTTAGTCTATGTTGTTACTGCATTTTGTGTATTTAAATTAAACATACTATGGAATTTAATGTAAATTGAATAGAGCAGTTAATTTTGAGAATAATTAATTTAAATTTTAAAATGAGTGATACCGAAACAGAATCATTGAATCCTTATTATAAAGAGATTGTTGCATACCTACACACTCAATAAATTCTCATATTTTAACCATATGATATGTTGGATGAGTTCAAAATACTCTCTCAGTTTTAATTTAGGCTAAAACTTAAAATGTCAACATTATACCTAGCCAAATCAATTTACTTAAGAACTAATATATTAACATAGGATTACTTGTTGACAAGTCTGTGGATTGCAACCAAATTCGATCAATAGGATAGATGCAAATGGCAAATGTCCACAGAAATAGAAACACACATTTTACAAAAGTTAAATTTTGAAATAACTAAACCAACTGTCATGGATTTCATTGAACAACTAATTTATTACATCAAAAAAACAAAAAGAATATCAGCTGAATAAGTTCGATTGATATATGCTTTATCCTTAATGGCACTACCTTGGAAATTGAATTACGAGCCATCTCAAATCGCATTTGCTATTATTGTATGCTCTTCATTCATTTTAGATCATATCATTTACACTCAAAAACATCAAAAATCATGATTTCCAATCTGATTGTTATGCTGATGTTTGCTAGCAATTGCTCAATAAGTACGATTAGAATATCATCATTTCCTAAAAGTACCCAGCCAGCTATCTCCTAATCAAAAAGAATTTACACAGACTCTATTGACAATTTCCAAATTAACTGTTGAATTTCAATCATATATTTATATTCACTCATACTGATTATCCTTTATCTAATTTTATTAATTATTATTANAATTGACTGATCATAATTAAAAATAAAATTAATGTACGCACAAATTCAATTATAGAACTGTGTAGAACTTTAAGTACATAAGAAAACCAAAGATTCCATTGCTTATTAACCTAAGTTCCCAAGAACTAATGAAACTGTATGCTATTCCTATGTATTTTTAGGAACCAGAAGTTCTGACTCTACGGCAAAATAATCAAAATAGCTATTTAGATCAATTCATAACAATTACACATCTTATATCAAACTGTAGGGGATAATAAAGTAATTGGAACACTAGGAGATTTGGAATGGTAATAACAGGGAAATAAGTGAATCTGATAAATTTGAAAAGGTGAATAAGGAACATCCTCATTTGTTTAAGAATCATGTTTATTCTCTCTTAGGTTTATTTGAAGAAACAATTAAATTATTATTATTATAGACTGTGAAGGATTTCAAATTTGATGTTCCAGAATTATGAAATAGAGTTTGGTTAGGGAAATACAACGAGGAAGAAATCTGATGCTTTTAGATTGCTTTGGTCTTAGTCTATGTTGTTACTGCATTTTGTGTATTTAAATTAAACATACTATGGAATTTAATGTAAATTGAATAGAGCAGTTAATTTTGAGAATAATTAATTTAAATTTTAAAATGAGTGATACCGAAACAGAATCATTGAATCCTTATTATAAAGAGATTGTTGCATACCTACACACTCAATAAATTCTCATATTTTAACCATATGATATGTTGGATGAGTTCAAAATACTCTCTCAGTTTTAATTTAGGCTAAAACTTAAAATGTCAACATTATACCTAGCCAAATCAATTTACTTAAGAACTAATATATTAACATAGGATTACTTGTTGACAAGTCTGTGGATTGCAACCAAATTCGATCAATAGGATAGATGCAAATGGCAAATGTCCACAGAAATAGAAACACACATTTTACAAAAGTTAAATTTTGAAATAACTAAACCAACTGTCATGGATTTCATTGAACAACTAATTTATTACATCAAAAAAACAAAAAGAATATCAGCTGAATAAGTTCGATTGATATATGCTTTATCCTTAATGGCACTACCTTGGAAATTGAATTACGAGCCATCTCAAATCGCATTTGCTATTATTGTATGCTCTTCATTCATTTTAGATCATATCATTTACACTCAAAAACATCAAAAATCATGATTTCCAATCTGATTGTTATGCTGATGTTTGCTAGCAATTGCTCAATAAGTACGATTAGAATATCATCATTTCCTAAAAGTACCCAGCCAGCTATCTCCTAATCAAAAAGAATTTACACAGACTCTATTGACAATTTCCAAATTAACTGTTGAATTTCAATCATATATTTATATTCACTCATACTGATTATCCTTTATCTAATTTTATTAATTATTATTATTTTAGAAAAAAGAATTAAATTAAAAAAAACAAAAAAACATTTATTTATCTTATATGTATAATTTTTATCTTACTACATATTTTCATTATTTTAATTTATTCTTTTCAAAGTTCAAAATGATACTTTCAAATTCTAAGCAAAATATTTTTTAATTCAATCTCACTTTTTATTATTAAGATGTAACTTTTTTCAGCAATTCTATTTATAAAAGAGTTCAAATATGTCATTTAAACTTAAGATATTCCATAAAAACATAATATTTGAAAATATTTAAATTTTAAATGATTGTTTATTGATAGAGAACAGTTAGATTTAACATTACAAATATTTAATATTATATATTATACCTATGTATTCATATTTTCAATATCTTATAATATTTCTTATGTAGAATGTAAGAATGTAAACTTACTGTTCTACTCGGTTATGAAGTGAATTTTCTCTTAACTATAATATACCATACTTATAAATAATCTACCTTCCCCTTCTATTTGTAGTAGGTATTAGTTAAATACTCATACAAGAAGAATCTGACATTAAAGATTTAATCTCTAACTTCTAAGTTTATTGAATATTTTAAATACTTTATTTATATTCAAAAATTGAATAATGTTATCCAACATATAATATTAAAAAAATTATTTAATGCCTTTGTAATAATTTACAAAATTATTAAAAGAAGCAATCATTTATTACCGAATACTGATTATGAATATTTTAATAGTTTGAGTCAAATTGAATTTAAGCTACAACAAAGTTTCATAGTTATCCAATAATATAAGATCAAACATAACATTTGGTGATAGCTTTGATGTTATTATGGTTTCTGAAAAGAAAATTAAAGGATTCTCTGTTGTTTAGTTTATTCATAAACACCAATCTCTTAGGTAAATTCAAAAATAGCTTAATATGTTAGATGTTTATGATTAAATATATAAGAGAATCAATTAATTTCAGGTGGTTATTATAAACCAATCAAACATAGAGCTTAGATATTAGGAACTTAGAACTAACATATCTGTATTCTTTGGATGATGCTTCAAATATATATTCATCATAGAATTATAATAAATTCATAATTTACTCATTCAACTCAACCAAAATCTTTAGGAATGATTATCGAAAGTACAGCTGAGAACAATAGGCGATTTTCATATATATAATGAAAGTTTTATACATATTTGATTATTAGGACAAGGAAAATTGAAGGAAAAATTTCTACGTTTTTGTTATAATAATCAAATATTTATTAAATGAGAATGTTAGAGAACTGAATTTTAAATTCACCTAATACTTACTGTTAAAACGAGAGAGAAAGAAAAATGATTAATTTTAGTTAAGTCATCGAATAGTTGCCAAAAATTTAAAGAGTATAATCAAAAAGAATTTTAATAGGATTAACTCAAAAATGTAAATTAATAAGATTTAACTAAAATAAAAATCAAAAAAGGAAAGGAAAGGAAAATTTAGATAAATAAAAAATTTCCATTTTTTTAGAATTTAGATTAAGATTACTAGTAAACAGAACAGAATCTAAAAGGTTTTAAAGAATAACTTAAACTATTTTTTTTAAGTAATTCTTCATATCTAGTATTTTTGCATACTTTTAATTGATAGTTCATTTATTTATTTTAGGTTCTAACTCATCGTTCCTAACAAATAATTATAATGGATTGTCAAACTAAAATTGGGTTTGTTATTTTTTCTATTTTTATATCCTTTTTTTATATGAATAGTATGCCTTTTACCCTTAATCCAGGATGTCAATAATTAAAGTAAAACCAATTATGAAACTAAATAATGCAATGTGTAACCATCCATATAACAACAATTAATCCTCATTTAATTCTAAACTGTAAATTAAAAATGAACCTGTGATTATCAATAATAACCCTTCTCTACACAACAATTTAATTAAATCTAAATTTGATTTTATCGGTCTAAAGAAGATCAAATATAGTAAATAGAAAAAAGACTGCATAGAAAGCAAAATAGACTATGCTTCGGGATATCTTATGAATTCTACTATGATTGCAATATAAGAAACTGTTCTAAATATTTGAAAAGGTTTGAAATTAATTGCCCAAAATCCTACCTCCGAATCTTAAAAGAAATATTTCCATTTTCGCTTATCCTGAATTTATGAAGTTGTTATTGAAAGTAATCTAATTAATATTTAGAAGAGAAGTAAGCAGCTTATTAATGCAACAAAACTATTAATAGTTTCAAAAATAGAAGTAAAAGTGTATGAAGGAAATTATAATAAAGTACTGAATAGTAATTAATGAAGTGTTGAATAAAATAGTTAATAAACTCCTAAGGAGAAATAATTTCTTTTCACTTTGGAACATTAAAATTGAATTTTCTTTTAAAAGTTCAAGAATATTCTTAGAATGGTCCTATTATCTTTATACTTTTCCAAATTTCTTCCCAACCAAAAAGATATGTTTTTTGAACATATGAGGCAGCAAATGAAATAAGCGAGTAATGATGCCAAGTAAGAAAAGATACACCCTTTGGCATTGATTAAAAAAAACAAATTCAAAGCTTCCTATTATTTGGATTATTGCGATTTCTTCCCTAAATAGGGGAGAGTACCTCCATTAAGCTTAGCAATAATTTCATCAACATGTAAACTCTCTAAAATAGGCTATAAAGAGATTTTTGTATAAGTTTCAAGAAATTACCTTAGGTGGGGAGGAAATCTATATTACATGTACTTAATGTAGGATAGTTATTATAATAGGTCTAACAAATTGAAAAACACTATTTAATTACCCGTTAATAAGAGAAAACCAGAAATACTAACTGTTGAATATATCATAATGTCATTCATTTTGATAACCTTATTAACTCGTTTCTACATATCTGCTGATAATACAAAGGGGGTTCCAAGAGGTATTTGTTTCGAAAAACTACTTAAGTCGAAATCAAACTAATTAAAAATACATAGTTTCTGTATGTTTATTTATAAAATTGGCTCCGAAACAGGCTTGACAAATTAAATGTAAATTTAATAATTAGGATTACTTAAATAAGAACCAATACTTACTAATGGCACTATTGTTAATTCATATTCAGATTATGGATTGATTTTAATTTCTAGAGCCTGTTCAAAAGGATTCTCACAGGATATATATACTTCCTAAGAGAAGCTCAATTCTAGTATTTTTGTTTGATTCATTTTATCAGAGAGTAAGTTCAAATTGAAATTTGGTGTTTAAATAAAAGTGCAAATACTGAATTAGTTTTCTTGATTAATGCATTTAAAGGAATCTTCCTCATAACATAATGCTGAACATCCATCTCCTCCATCATCATTTCCATCGTCACACTACTCAAAAATGCTATTAAGCATTCCATTGCCACATAAATTAACGCATTTATTATTGATAAATGCTTAATTTTCATTACACTATAACATATTGTCATTTAATGGTTGTGTTTCTGAACCAATGTTTTATTACAATTAACATTTAAATGTTTGAGAATCTAAAATGTAATATTAATCGTCACATAGCACGCAATGGTTATCCTTCTCGCATAAAATGCATCCGAAAGAGCATTAATATTGACATTCAAAACATCCATCATATGGGATATCATTACCATCATCACATTATTCAAAAAGCGGAGTAATAATATTATCCCCACAAATTGGTAAGCATTGGTTATCCTTAATTTCAAAAGGAAGTATACAAAACTAGCAAGTTTAGAATCTATCGCATACAAGACAATATAGATCACATTGATATTTACAATTAACACAATTTGAATCTTTAGGATCATCACATTGTTCATTAGATAATATTGCCAACAGTCCATCTCCGCAAATCTATTTACATTCGTAATCCTCAAGCTACCACCCTTCTTAACATTGATGGCACATATTATAAACACATAATAAACATTCTATTTAACAGCTCTACTAAAATTCTTAATAACCATCAAATTGAATTTCATCCGTACCATCTTGTGATAAGGTAAGGCCGTCTTGGCATTAAGGAATACATTGCTTTTTATAAAAGTCTAATTTGTATTCATCATTACAAACTATACATTTTCCAAATTCGCATTTTTTGCAATTGTTAGGACAAGAATATTTGCATTAATGACACCCATCATTTGATAAATAATTACCATCATCGCATTCCTCATTATAAGTGATAATAACATCTCCGCATAAAGGAATGCAAGAACAACTTGCCTCTAAAAACTCCCATCCATTTAAACAACCATAGCAAATTCCTTTGATACAAATTTCACAACCATTAATGCAATCATAATGATTCATAAAGCATCCATCAAATGGAACAATGTTGTTATCTATGCATATTTCATTGTCAAATATAAGAAATAGTTAAAAATCTCTCATTCCAATATATGTTGGTATATTACTTGCCTATTGAATTAAATCAACTTTTATATGAATATTTAACTTGCTATTCTGATGTTAGTATTGAAATAAATAAATTTCCTACATTGAAATATGATCACAAATTTCTACTTTTAGTTCTTTTTAAATATAATTAGTGGTGAGTACTAAGTTCCCATCGATATTGATTTAAATTAAAGTTGATTTTGAATTAAAAACTAATAATTTTAATTGAAAGCTTATGGCATTATGTAAATCTAATTCGATAACTTTTTGCAAAGCGTCTCCAGAGGAAACTATGTAATTAAACCCTTTGTATTATGAGGACATATACCTAAGCATTCATTAACAAGAGCAACAGAACTCTGCCATCCTTCTTCAAGAGAAATACTCAAGAATTCTTTTAACTAAAATAGTTACAGAAACAATTCTTAATTTAAACATCCATATGAATTACAGGAATCACATCCAATGGAGCATTCATAAATTTATAATTAAAACTGTGTTATTCCCCAATATCCATTTTAAGCTGACATAGCTACTGTAATAGAGGAACTTGTGTGTTAAATTGTAATAGAAATTTGAAAAATGAGATATGAAAGGCTACTTAAGCATGCGCCAACTGAAATACTGTTATTTGTATAATTCCTTTAGTGCTCAATTTTACTATCTAAGTAAACTAGAAAGTCGCGATCGAGGGAGTTATTTAATCTAGGGGACTAAAATTCATACTATTACCTCAACATTTTAAAATCTAGTGTCAATTAATAGTGAGGTTAGAGTTCGAAAGTTTTGTAAATCAAATACTGATATCCATAAGTTTATGTTATGAATATTACATTATAAGCATCACACCTAGTTGGAATGTATGCATTGCCACAATTAAATTGATTCTCACATGCATACCAGACTTAAATGATATTATATTCATTTTTACTATCAGAATTATCATTAAATAGTTCCTCATAAACCATTTTATATTAGGTAGATTTTATTAAGAGGCAAAATATCACCAATATGGAGGTTATTTTCAACTATTTGAACAATGATTCAGGAAAATGGAGGTTTTAATCAATAACTCGCATGATAGATGATGATTATCCAAAAATAAATAATAAAATTTATAAGAATTATTTTAATACTTCATATAGTTTAACACTAATGATGAATATTTAAGTGATAAAATTAAGTAGATGTATTGAAAGTATTATAAATACAATTGTTGAAATTGATTAATCACCAAAAACGAACTGTCTCAAGATTATTTTTAGACTATTTTTAATTCATTAACCAAAATCAACACATTATACAATTATGAATTACAATAATATAAATATTGGAAGTTAACTTTTTCTCTGGATAGAGTAAAAACTATCGGAAATGATTATTAGTAGCTTATTAAGTTATAAAGAATTGATGTTAACAAAAATGCTTCCAAAAAATAATTCTGATAAGTTAATATAATACATAATCTACCCAAAAAATCGGTTATAATCTATTTGGTTTTAATTTTGTCAATAATAATATGACTAAATATATTTACATAAAGGCACGTAAAAAGAAGTCATTTAAATATTTGAATACAAACTCAGAGAAAAAAATGATTGTTTTTTAAAAAAATATAATAAATCATATCTGATAATAATACGAATTATGATAATATTAAAAGAATAACTTTTTTTTAATCTATTAAAATAACAGCAGAATATTTTTGCTGATTATAATTTAAATTCGATTGATATTAAAGAGCTCATTCCAAATATTGGATTTCATCTTAGTGAAAGGTCACTAATGCTGGAAATATTTTTTCGTTTTAGATCTTGAAAAAAAAGGAATATTCTTTGACCTTATTTTTTTTTATTCTAAATATTTTTTTGAAGCAATCTTTACATTTTTTTAATGTAATTAAGAGTTGAAATTTAAATAGAAAGTTTAAAAGCATAGAGCAAATAGAAACATCTCATCCCTTTCTAAGAATTATAATCTCATTTCTTAACAATTGTCAATCTTTTTTTTCAGATTATTTTATATCGATAATAGAATTATGATCATCAATTCATTGAAAACAACACTCAAGGGCATTCAAAGTGAAAGACGTGAAAGCTGAAAAATAATATGGAGACTATTGCTAAATTAAAGCTTGAACATAAATTTAGAGGAAGAATTGTTAACAATGTAAAAAATAAATAAGGAGTCTTCCCACTAGTGTGGTAATCTTTCTTTTCATAACTAAAAAAAGTCTGAAACTCTCTAATTTTACAGTAAAATCAATGGATCAATCTAATTGGCTAATTATTGATGTAATTTCTAGCGTAAATTATATATTTCCTAAATAATTGAATTGATATTAATAATATGCTTTTTATATTCTTCAAATCGTATTCTTACTTAAAGTCAAAAGAAGGCTTTAAAATTTTGATGAAAATGGATTTCATTTCATTTTTAAACTATAGAACAAATTCAAATTCTATAATAGAGATTAAATGCTAGCTTTAATTAATTTCATAATTTTTACGTTCTAATCATACTACCCCCATTTTAAATTTAATGAATTCCTTATGAGCGCATTTGATTCTTTGTTATGAAATACTTAATGTTAAGGTGATGACCAAAGAAGTCTTTTTTTTATATAAAGATTTAAATTTTCAAATTTTTGTACATTATTTCGCATCTGATGTTTTTGAAAACTTGTCATATTTAATTTCAGACATATAAGTATTGATTTAATATTAAATGTTTTAATAAGTTTTCTTCATTATTTTAGGCCGCTTTAACCTTGTCAATTCTAATTGGGTGGTCCGGAACTATTATTTAGTTTGGAATACTTATTTTAAGGATGATTTTGAACCAAATTATATAAACTACCCTTTCGTTGAAGGGACTCAATCATTTATGATCCCATTACAATTTAACAGGACAGCTAACTATATTAATTGTACAAATCCAACTACTAGCTATATTACTTTGGATTACACATATCCCTAGGTTTAGAAATATATCCTCTACAATAGCGGTCGAACTTAAGAGTATGCCCATTATTATTATCACCACATTTACAGTAACTTCACCAAAGGGTTTTTATGCTTTGACTTATATTTTTAAGGTAATTGGACGAATGGAAAGGTGACATTTTCAATTGGTTCATTTACCGAAGAGTATTTTTATGATTCACCAGAAAACTATGCACTAAATAGTTCATTCTGTGATGATCTTTCATATGATATCAAGCAAGTTAATTTTACCATCCCTTATGCTGTTCAAGGAGACTTTTAATTTGGAATTTCTAATACGAATGAGAGTGGCTCGGTTTCAATTCGAAACATTTATTAAATGACTTAGGAAATTGTGTGTTATCCTTCATGTCGTCTTTGTACAGGGCCTAAAGAAAATTAATGTACCTAATGTTACTTTGGAACACCAACTAATAATATTTGTCCTCCATGTCCATCAGATCTATACTATGTTAAATATTCAGGGTGTAGATCGAAATGCGATTCAATTTAACCATTATGTTTTAATGGGTTTTGCAATACTTGTCCATGTATATATTAAAATATTTAATTTAGAAAATTTAACTATTGGATATAATTTAGTTTTAGAGAAAATAAGTGACAACCCGAATAGTTATAGAGATTTTTTATTATGGTCTAAAATCTATGACCCAAACTTCATCGACGATTCTGTAGATGTGTTTAGTATTACATCTCCATCTTATTATACAATATATGGAATATTTAAATATAGCTCAGGAATTATGAGATAAATTATAATTCATAATAATAAAGGATTTTATCTTAAAGTTTAAATTAAGATAATTGTCTTTAATGGGTTTCCATTAGATTGTGGAATTCAATTTAAATTTAATAATACTTATGTTGGATCAATATATAGAAATACTTCTGGAATTTAATTGCACAAATTTAAGGAATTTTAATAAACTTCATTAGGTCCATAAAGATCATATTCCAGTTCGTATTTATATAAGATTGATGGTGTTTTCGACCTTCCAAAATAAAGTATTTTATTTTCTGCTATTGGAAATTTTACGTAACTTATTTAAAATGAATTTTTAGTGATCCTTCATATGGTTGGGCAATACAATCAGTTGTATTTTTCACTAATAATTGTACAAATGGCTGCGATAGTTGTGACTATGTAAGTTTCAAATGCATAATATGTTAATCAGGTTATTTGAGGTATAGAGATGGAACATGCCTTCCTATTAGTTAATGTAATCAACCCCATTAATAAATAATGTAAAATTATTGTAAGGATTTTGATGATGAAACACAATGTAAAAAATAAAGTATATAAAGATTCATCTCTATTGATAAAAGAAGATTTTAATCAATTTGAATAGGATTACTACCCAGAGTATACTTTGGTATCCTAAAGTGGTTATAACTTTTTAACAGGCTCTGATAGATATTTTTCATATTGGCAAGGAATAAGAATACTAGGTGGTTAATTTATTTGGGCATAGGCTAGGCTTAGAAGGATTCATCAAAATATTGGTCCTCATCATAGTATTTCAATAGGTTTCTATGTATTATTTGGTCCAGCATTCCCATAAGAGGGATAATTCATCTACTAAATTGATTCTTAACCATTTTTTACATCTACATTGGGTGCTAGTACCTTTTCTAATGGAACAAAACAATAAATAATAAGAAAAAAAGTGAATCATTCTCAAAACGATTTAATATTAGAATTGGAATGTTTTGGACCAAACAATGAAGTAATTTAAGCTTATTGCGGATTTTTTAATTATTACTTGTCTATTCATTATTGTTAACCATATTGTTTATAGTGTACAGATGATAAAAGCTGCACTTAATGGAATAGTACTTATAGCCCGACCCTAATATAATTTTCTTAAGCGGAGTGTTAATCCAACTAATATTTTGATGAATATATATTTTTGTGTGTCAATTGCGAACCCACTTGTTAAACCTGTAAATCGAAAATCGTATGTTTGACTTGCTTAAATCCAACATATACCTTAACCAACTTTGGATGCTTTTGTAATAAACATCAATATGAAGATTCAAATTAATGTTTTAATTGTCCAATTGAATGTAATTAATGTTTAAGTTTAACCTAATGTACTGAATGCTTGTCTATAAACAATCGAAAATTATCAAATGGACAATGCCTCTGCACAGAAGGTTATTATTAAAAGAATCAAGATCTTGTTTGCTTATTGTGTGATAAATTTTGTGGTACTTGTTTTGGTCCAACTTCCAACGATTGCTTAACTTGCAATATTGAAGTTTTGAATATCTAATTAGTAAATTCCTCATGTATTTGTCCAAACAATTCTTTTTATGAAAATTAATTTAATAGATGTACATTTTGCCATTCAAACTGCTTAACTTGTTTTAATGACAGCATTGATGGATGTTTAACTTGTGATTCTTCATAGAACAGAGTATTAGCAGGATCGAATTGTAATTGCAAGACAGGGTTCTAAACATTAAATAATGACTGTATATAATGTCCTAATGATATCGATACATCACTTTTAGAATGCTATAAATATTGTAATAATGGTGATCTAATATGGCATATGAATCCTTGTGGTGCTTGTGGATCAGGTTTTACCTTAATATCTAATGAATGCATACCAATTTGCGGGGATCTTTAAGTTGTTGGTTATGAATAATGTGATGATGGTAATACTATTTAAAACGATAAATGCTATAATTGTTAATTCTAATGTCCGATTAATTGTAAGACTTGTGACATCAACACTACTTTACCATGTCCTGATATTTGTGGAGATGGGTTAATTACTGGCAATGAAGAGTGCGAAGATGGAAACCAAGTAAAATATGATGGATGTTATAATTGTAAATATCAATGTCAAATTGCATGTACTAAATGTATTAAGGGAAAATGTTCTGAATGTGCTACTTTGGGATGGTAAATTGATCTCTTGTCTTAACCACCACTTTGCAATGAAGTTTGTGGAGACGGTTTAGTAGTTGGAATTGAAGAATGTGATGATGCTAATTTTTATGAATTTGATGGGTGTCACCAATGTAAATGGTTATGTAGAATTGGATGCTCTCTTTGTGATTAAACACGTACAAAATGCTTGAGTTGTGAATTTCGTGGATTTGAGCCTTATTTATACTATTGTCTACCTATTATGAATGATGGTTTGGTTGTATTTGATCCATATGGGTTCTATTATGAAAAATATGATTATTATTCTGGAGATATGTGTGACGGGAGTTGTTAAAGTTACTCATCATGTGATGTAATTGGAGGGGTTAATTGCCATTATCCATGTTAACCATTGGAATGCACTAACTGTTCCTAAGGAAAATGCCTATCATGTATTTCTGGATAATATCTTTCAAGTAACAATATTTGTTAACCATATTGTAATGATAATATAAAAGCCTTAAACGAATACTGTGAAGATTCCTTTATATTGCCTTATCGAGGATGCTAAAATTGTTAACCTAAATGTTAAGATTCTTGTTCTGTATGTGATACTAGAGGAAGAGGATGTGCTAAATGTAAAAATGGATATTAATTTAATGACTTTTTATGTTATTCTAAATGTGGAGATTTTCTAATGACATATGATAAAGAGTGCGACGATGGAAATTTAATTCCTGATGATGGTTGTCACTTTTGCTAATTGAATTGTCAAGCTACTTGTCTAATTTGCATAAAAGGCGTTTGCCAAGATTGCGAAGAAGGCTATCACTTAATTAATTCAAGATGTTTTGCTATCATAAATACTTTTGAATAACATCAATATTCAAATTACGTTGAATGTTTGTAATAAGAAAAGAAAAGGATTATAAAACATACAAAATATGGATGGAATGATATTTATTATTAAATTACTTTATAGAATACATCCTGTAAACTATGCTTTTTAAACTGTGAAATCTGTAATGAAGACACTTGTATAGGCTGTTTATAAGGATATTATTTTAATGAATAACAGGAATGTTAATCTGAATGTGGTGATGGCATTCTAATAAAAGAGGAAGAATGTGAATTTATTGATGAGCATTGCTTTAATTGCTTATTTATTCAACCATAACATTGCAAATAATCTTTAAATAATGTATGCATTAATTGTGAAGTTGGCTATTATTTAGATAAAATTAAAATGATATGTAGATCATAGTGTGAAGATGGTATAATAGCTGATAATGAATAATGTGATTTACAAACAAAAGGATGCTTTGGTTGTAAGTCTTAATGCAGCGAAGATTGTATAGATTGTTAAGATGGATTATGCTAATCATGTAAAGATTCATTTAGGGTTTGGGATGGAGGTTGTCACAAAACGGAGCAATTAGTCAAATTAGATTTGGAATGTAAAGTACAAATATAGGGATTATGCTTTTAATGTTAAGAATAATATGAGTTAAGTTTAAGTGGTGAATGTGTACCATCTTGTTAAGACAGCTGTGTTATATGTAAACTTGGATTGTGTTATGAATGCAAGGAATCATATTATTTAGATTAAAATATTTGTTTTTTAATAAATGAATTCTCATCATACTTTATTACGGATTTCTCTTTACTTGAGAAGACTTGTAGATATATTTACTAATTGGAATTCTAAAGGAAAAATCAAAATTATTTAAATTCTAATGAAATTTCTCAATATTTTAAATATCAATTCAGCTATGAATTTGATTTCATTGATTCAGAATTTTTTTTAAATTGGATTTTCATAATCACATCCTTTAATAATTTATCTGTTGAAAGAGTTGAAAATGAGATCTTTTAAGTTGATCCAGATTCTGATAATTCAGATTCAAATTTTAATCTTTAAGATCACAAATGTAATACTTATTGTTAACTCTGTGTTGATACATAATGCATTCAATGTTAAAGAGGGTATTTTGTTTCAGATTTTTCTTGTGTTTCTATCTGTGGAGATTCATTGATAGTAGATAATGAATAATGTGATGACGGAAATACAAATTAGTATGATGGTTGCTATTAATGCTAATATTAATGTTCGAATAATTGTGAAATTTGTTAAAGAGGAAATTGTAGTAAATGCCTAAATCATTTTGAATTAGATCCTCTCTATCAATGTAGGCAAGTGGAATAATTTCAAATTGCATCTAATCAATAATACGATTGTAAAGTTATGTAAAATAATGCATGCTTATTTTGTGAACATGGAACTCTTGAATCTATAACTGGAATTTGCACAAAAAATTATCATTTAGAAAACTACTGCATTGGTCATTGTAGTTTATGTATGAATTAAAAATGTCAACAATGTGAGTATGGTTATTATGGAACTTATTGCCTTGAAGGAGATGGGACAAATCTCCCAAAAGAAAAATGTAATGATTTCAATTAATAAGAATCACAAATTTGCAAATAATTTTTATAATGCGATTCAAATTGCCTTTATTATATTATTAAAGAATGTTAACTTTGCAATGAAGGATATTTTTTATTTAATAATGAATGTATTACAGGGAAAATTCCCTCAATTGCATTTAGAAGTAATATCGAACCAATTTGTGGAGATGGAATTGTTTAAATCTTTGAAGAATGTGATGATGGCAATATAAAATCATTTGATGGTTGTTATGAGTGTAAATTTTCTTGTGATTATAATTGCTATGATTGTTTTTAGGGGATCTGCTAAGTTTGTTAAGATGGTTTTCTATTGAATATCAATCATTTATGCGATCCATTTTGCGGAGATAATTTAGTTATGCCATATTCTATTGAATAGTGTGATGACGGTAATTCCGATTCTCTTGATGGTTGCTATGATTGCAAATATGAATGCCCAAATTTTTGTATATATTGCAATCAAATACAGTGCCTATAATGTGAAGAAGGCCTTGAACTCAAAAATTCTTATTGTATTCCTAAATGTGGAGATGGTATTATAATTTAAGAATTTGAGGAATGCGATGATTAAAATGAAGAACCTTATGATGGTTGTTATGAATGCAAATTTTAATGTAGAAAAAATTGCGTACTATGCAATAAAGGTGTTTGTTTAGATGTATGTCCTGAAGGTATGGTATATGTTGGAGAAATTTGTATGACAAAACCATGCATAGTAAACTGTCTGAATTGCGAGAAAGGGATTTGTTTAGAATGTAATACTGGATATTCTTATGATGATTAAGTTAAATTATGCATAAAAGATACTCAATTAGATTCTACTAAAAATGAATCACTTGTGGAAATGGATGAAAATAATTATCTATGTCATTTTCTAGAATGTGTTTATTCACCAGCCCCAATAATGTAAATCTCATTTCTAAACCAAACCTCGTCTAGATAATATGTATAAATCTTTTTTAACTTACCCGTTAAATTGAAAGATGATGAAGAAGAAATACATTTCAATTTCAATTTTACTAATTTGTAGGAAACCGATTATTTAATTACTTTGCATACTTAAATACAAATATCTTCAAAATAAATTTCAACTGCTTCGTACATAGTTGAAATTTAAAATTTAGCTTAACTAAATGAAAAACCAGTCTTCTAAGTATTTTGCTAAACAGAAATTATTAATTCTAATAACTAAAACCTCTAAAATAACTTTACCTCCATAAAACTAAATTACCCAAAAGTATTGAGTAATTCATAAGTGTAAACTTCGTAATTTATGCAAAATTCCAATAAAATATTCATGTATTCAGCTATTTCAGTTAGTTTGATATCATTTATTGCTGGAGATTCTTCTCTCCTATTAGAAACACTCGATGTATTATAATAACAATCCTTCTTAAAATTTATAAATGTAGAATACCCTGAAAATCTTTAAATTTATTTTTAAGCATCTGACATGTTATGTGTTAGTACTTATATTAATTAGATAAATTTGGATTATTATTATAATCTAATAACGGGAAAGTCGTCAATTTATTAAGTGAATGGCAAATTCTCTCTTTATGATGTAGATCCTGATTTGATTACTAGTTTACTTCCATAAGTTTTTTAATGCTCAGGGCTTGTACTCCTTTTTTTATTGAGCAGACCAATGTATAGATTATTTTAGTTTATCATGTCATAATAAAAGATTTATAATTACTTTTAAACATAATCAGGAATCCTTAAGCAAATATTTCTAAAGGGGACAAATATATTGAGAAATTATATGATGAATTTGATAGCAATAAGAAGAAATTTGTCATTTAATCATTTTAAACTTTTCTTCTAATTAAATGCTTGGGATCTGCTTTTTAAAGCTTTATTACAGTTACATTTTACTTCATATAAAGAAGCTAGAGGATATATTCAATTAGTTGGTAGCATTCTTTTGATATTTGTTTATGGTTCATATATAATTGAATTCTTAAGGAAAAAAAAAAAATCAGAAAAAATGTCTGATTTTAACACAAATATATTTTTATCCTTAGACCTATGTAGGAAATTTATGTTCCACTTTATTTTGATATTTTTTTAAGAATGCCCAACCTTATAATTTTTATTACTATCGACAATCAACTTAACATAATGCTTTATTCTTTATAAATATGAATAAAGTTCAAATTTAGATAGAATGATTTCAATATTAAATGAAGGAACAATAGGCTTCTTTAGCTTAACCTGTTTTCCTTACAATGATATAAATAGGATATATTTTTCGAATGAAACTATTACAAATACAGGGTTTATACAAATGGGGGCTCTCCTAGCAAATTTAGGAATCGTCTTTTCTAAATAATTGCTCCTTAAATTGTAAATTATTTGTAAAGATATATTTAAGAAAGGAAAACCGAAAAATATAAGGAATTAAATACTGGAATTTTGATTATTGAGATTTATTATGAAAATAATTACAATTTTTATTTTTTTTCTTATCTAAATTAAATCAATTCGATTATACATTATTGGCTGTTTCCAAAAATAAAATGAAAGTCATCATGAGTATATTATTGTTTAGATCTCAATAGATTTTAATATTTCAAGACCCAAATTTAGGCACTTCTCTTTCTTACTTATTTTACAATTTATTGACTTGCTCTTCTTCTAAGAAATTAACTTATGTAAAACAAAATGATTAAATTTTAATGAATTATCCTTTAATTCAACATAATAACTCATTCTTAAATCTTTCATCTTCAACTACCTTAATTTAATTCATTTTCAATTATATTCATTCGGTTGTAAATTTTAATATGTATCATATTATTGAATATTTCAATTGAATTAACCTTCAGATTATCAATATAATTTACACCTTTGGAAATCCAAAATAAAACTATGACTGCACAAAAAGATGCGAATTTATAAAAAATGATAACATGAGAAATTCCAAACAATAAAATAATATCACTATAGGGTTGGTGTGCTCAATTCTTTAATTTCTAATCATTAAATATTTATACTTTTTCCTAGAGATAATTCTATAAGTTAATTTAATGGATGAGCCAAACGATTCTTTTGAAGATATTTAAGAATTTATAATATAAAGAAAACCCTTATTTCAATTTTATTATTAGTAAAATGAATTTTTTGAATAACTTTGCTGATGATTCTAATTTACATCTGTTTTTTTCACAAGGAATTCCGTAAGATTGTTTGTCTTTTCATTATAATTGTTTTTAATATCCGTTTACAAGAAAAATTTAGCTTACAATCAATTTTACAAAGAATCACAAAATCTTTTATATAATTGATGGAGAAATCATAAGAATGTAAAAATATTTTAATATTAGTGATTCTATTGAGAATTTATCCATCAGACCATATATATTGACAAATTTAGATTAAATCAAATATTTAAGTTGGATTGGTGAATATGGAGAGAACAAAAAAAAGGTTGGAAGATGGTTTGCTAATTGGGATGGAATTTTGATGGCTGATGTTGGTGGATATTACTCTCAGGAGGGAAAAAAAATTGGTTAGTGGAAAGAAATTAATGATAATTATTCAAAGTAGTTAAATAATGATCTTAAAATTAGAAATATCTAAATTTATCAAATTGGATAGTATATTAATGATTAAAGAAGAGGAATTTGGAGGAATATCTCTAATGAAAAAGATATGTATCAATAAAAAATTTTTAGAGGTGGAGGGTTTTATGATGAATAAGGATCTAAGCATGGTCTATGGATAGATGTGAGTGATAGTTTTTGCAAGTAATAATTTATTTATAGATTTTAATATATTCAGGGAAAATTAATTAACTTATTAAGGGGAATATAATAATGGTACAAAGGTAGGAAAATGGAAAATCTTATTTAATAATTAATAAATGTAAATGTAGTATATGTTCATCTTAGTGGTGGTGGATATTTTAATAACCAGGGTTAAAAAATTGGTAAATGGGTTGATTTGAGTTCGGGATATTCTATGTATTTAGCAAGTTATGATATTAGTGAAGCGTAAATCAAATTTGTTGGTGAATATTAAAATGGTAAAAAATAAGGGTTATGGGATGTTTTAGAGGAGAATATATTTACGTATATATTTATCATACAACTTTGATCTATTAGTGGAGGAGGAGTGCAAGATGTAAATGGCTTAAAATCTAGAAAATGGATAGAATTAAGTGATAATTCTAATGAGTAATATAAATCATATAATTGATAGCTATATTCATATCTTTTATATTGGAGATTATATCAATGGTAAAAAGTATGGTATGTGGGAAACTACCTACAGATATAATAGGGAGAGCAATTTAGAAAAGATGTAACCTGCCTATGATATAAAAGTTGTTCAGGATAATTTGACGAATAAGGTTTAAAGAACGGAAAATGGGTTGAATTAAATGAGAGTTATAATTAGTAAGTATTTTCATTAATTTTAGTAATTGTTAGGTTATATTATAAGGATAATATAAGCATGGAATAAAGATAGATAGATGGAATTTTATGTATAGACTTGATGATGACAGAGGCTTTACTTATATGTAAATTTAAATGTTAAGAAAATTAGTGGTGAAGGATTCTTTGACCTCGAAGGATAGAGATAGAAATAATGGATTGAGTTATGGGATAAATTTGAAGAGTATTAAAATATTAAATTATAATTTTAGTAAAAGTCAAGTGATTTTTAAAGGAATATATCAAAATAATAAAAAGTGTGGACATTGGTAAACTATGTTTAGATGTTCGTGTTACGACAATTTCGAAGTAGTGTAATAAATTGATTCTGATAATAAAATGAATTAGTGGTGGAGGATAGTATGATGATGATGGATTAAAATTGGGATAATGGATTGAGCTGAGTGAAGACTTTACAAGGTAATATTTTAAGTGTTTTATTTCATCAGGGATTTCTAAGTCATGCATAAGGGGGAATATATTTTTGGTTAGAAATGTGGTTGTTGGGCTACAATGAAAAGGGAGAAGAAGAATGAAATATTTAGAATAATTGAAAACAAAAATATATGAATTTATTATACCCTTTAAATCAGAATTTAATTATGAATCAACAATCTACTAATGATATCAACATTCTTAACTCATCATTCTTATTACTTCATTTCATCGGGAATATCATTATTAGATTCTGTAAAAAATATCTATCTTTTCAGATTTAATGATGCGAGCATGTCAAATATTCTTAAAATGAATGCATTTAAATTTTCAATAAATACTTTTTTCATTTGTTTTAAACATAAAGGGTTTAATCTTTGTATAAGGGAGCATAATTTTGACATGATTTAATTCAGGAAAATATTGAGGCTATTGAATTGATAGAAACGAACTTAAAGAACATAGGAAGAAGTATATTGTCATTAAAAAACTAAAATTAGATACATTGAACTTTACTAACAGCGGTCTATACAATAAAACTATTTATATCTTATACGCCAAACCTACCACAAATTCATTAACTGTAATAGTTGTAATAAAGGATCTTTTAGATCTTAAAATCTTACAAAAGCATATTAGGAATTATTCCTCAAGAAAGTAATTATTAATAAAAAAATAAAATGAAATGAGAATTTACATTCAAGTTAAAGAAATCTTGGAGATGAAAACACATAAATATCAAATTAAACACCTTCCATAAATGATACAAAAATAATATCTGATTTGAAAACAGTAAGCTAGGTAGAAAGCTCAGTTAAATATTTGTATCATTACACTACTAAAACCCAAAGATCGCTAGGAAGAATTATTGGAGTTCATACATAATTCAACTCTTGAAGCACAACTAAATTTATTATCCTAAAAACAGTCAAACAAATAACATACTAATTATATGAATAGCAAATCAAATACTTAATTTAATCATCAGAAGTGTTTATTTTCACAATAGATAAGAATTTTGAATTAGTAACATAAATTTGAATAATTAATTATCAAAACCTATGGAGCAAATCAAAATTTAAATTTTACAATAATCAGATCATTTTTCCTATTCCAAATTTTTCAATCAAGTTTAAGTATTGTCTGTTAGGAGATAAGAAATATTAGTTACCAGCTAATAATAATTATCTTTCTTAATTATTTGAAGAATATAAAAATTCAGTCCCAATTTGTAAAAATTTATGAAATTAATTTAAGTTATTTGATAAATATATATATATGTTAAAATAAATTCTTTTTATTTTATTAATCTCATTTTGTTTAAAGTAGGTGCTGTTTTTTGAAAGTGTTAATTGATTAAGCTTCTTGTAGTTATGATTCAGTTAAATTATATCAAGTAAAAATATGTAATTGAGGAATTATAGAGAAGGTTGAAAGCTATCAATTAAAATCAATTTTAATTCTGCTGATTTGGTGCAGTAAATTTTTGTTACAAGATTATTATTTTGTTTAAACATGGAAATCAGAAGAATTAATTAAGATTCAGCAGCCCAAATAAATAGAAAATACGGAAATTAAATAAGAGGAATTAAATTAAATTATTTGAATGCATGTGTATGTATACCTATGTTTAAATATAAGATATGATTCATTTCTTTAATAAAATATTCTCCAATTTTTATATTTCATTTTTTATTTCTTTGTAAAGTTTATATTCTTTTTCAACTGGAGCAATATCCTTATGAAATCTAATTCTTCTATTGTGCGTAGTTGTGAATTCATTCTAAAAGTTATTTAGTTTTTCTCTTAATTCTGCTCTTGTTTTCTTTAAATCTTCTATTCTCTTTTGGATGTCTCCCTAAGTGTTATTGGTTGATTATTTATAAGCAGGTATTTGAATTCCTGGGTTTTGAGTAACTTTATCAATTTGCTACTTCAATTTTTTATAGTATATATATAATGGTCTCATTGGTTCTTTTTCATTTCGCAATGGAAATCTATTGAAAATGGATTAAAAGTTAGCATCATAAAATTTGAGTTCATTTTTTACTCTTTTTTTTTCATTCTATAGCGAATCCATTGACATCATTTCTAGATCTCTTTTTGTTAACTTACCTAAATCTATATTCAATCTTTATAAATAACTCATCTTACTTATTTAATGATTCTTGTAATTTTTATGGGCCTATTACACTAACCCATTATTCAATTGTTGGGGGATTAGATAACTTTTGTTATGGTTGTTCAAATTTTGGTTGATCAGATTGCATAGATGATATCGATGTCGATGATGTGTTATTTGAGTTCTTTTAGTAATTATCATAAACTGGATTGGGTTTCTTAAAATTGTATACAGCTTTGGGGTTGAATAGTTTAGCAACTGACTCTGTTAATAATTCATTGAGAATATCAATTTCCATTTTTTGAATTATTATTTTATAAATGAGACAAGACAGCAAAGTGTTATTATTCCATTTATAAATAAAAGATAAACATGAAATAATTATTAATACTCAAACAGAGGTAAATATCGTACGCCAACAAACTTGAAAGAAAACGCCAATCCTTTGTTGCGCTTAAGAACTTTTGAAGGTGAAGAGAAATTGTATTACATGAGTAACAATGAATTGATATGTCAAAATTCAAAATTAAGGGCTATTTANATATATATGTTAAAATAAATTCTTTTTATTTTATTAATCTCATTTTGTTTAAAGTAGGTGCTGTTTTTTGAAAGTGTTAATTGATTAAGCTTCTTGTAGTTATGATTCAGTTAAATTATATCAAGTAAAAATATGTAATTGAGGAATTATAGAGAAGGTTGAAAGCTATCAATTAAAATCAATTTTAATTCTGCTGATTTGGTGCAGTAAATTTTTGTTACAAGATTATTATTTTGTTTAAACATGGAAATCAGAAGAATTAATTAAGATTCAGCAGCCCAAATAAATAGAAAATACGGAAATTAAATAAGAGGAATTAAATTAAATTATTTGAATGCATGTGTATGTATACCTATGTTTAAATATAAGATATGATTCATTTCTTTAATAAAATATTCTCCAATTTTTATATTTCATTTTTTATTTCTTTGTAAAGTTTATATTCTTTTTCAACTGGAGCAATATCCTTATGAAATCTAATTCTTCTATTGTGCGTAGTTGTGAATTCATTCTAAAAGTTATTTAGTTTTTCTCTTAATTCTGCTCTTGTTTTCTTTAAATCTTCTATTCTCTTTTGGATGTCTCCCTAAGTGTTATTGGTTGATTATTTATAAGCAGGTATTTGAATTCCTGGGTTTTGAGTAACTTTATCAATTTGCTACTTCAATTTTTTATAGTATATATATAATGGTCTCATTGGTTCTTTTTCATTTCGCAATGGAAATCTATTGAAAATGGATTAAAAGTTAGCATCATAAAATTTGAGTTCATTTTTTACTCTTTTTTTTTCATTCTATAGCGAATCCATTGACATCATTTCTAGATCTCTTTTTGTTAACTTACCTAAATCTATATTCAATCTTTATAAATAACTCATCTTACTTATTTAATGATTCTTGTAATTTTTATGGGCCTATTACACTAACCCATTATTCAATTGTTGGGGGATTAGATAACTTTTGTTATGGTTGTTCAAATTTTGGTTGATCAGATTGCATAGATGATATCGATGTCGATGATGTGTTATTTGAGTTCTTTTAGTAATTATCATAAACTGGATTGGGTTTCTTAAAATTGTATACAGCTTTGGGGTTGAATAGTTTAGCAACTGACTCTGTTAATAATTCATTGAGAATATCAATTTCCATTTTTTGAATTATTATTTTATAAATGAGACAAGACAGCAAAGTGTTATTATTCCATTTATAAATAAAAGATAAACATGAAATAATTATTAATACTCAAACAGAGGTAAATATCGTACGCCAACAAACTTGAAAGAAAACGCCAATCCTTTGTTGCGCTTAAGAACTTTTGAAGGTGAAGAGAAATTGTATTACATGAGTAACAATGAATTGATATGTCAAAATTCAAAATTAAGGGCTATTTAGATGTCAAATCTGACCAAACCCTACTCCTAGTTATGAATGAAATAATTGGTAAATCTCCTCTTATAGTTGAGAGGGCAAAAATTCTCCAATCTTCCAGCAAAAGTAAACATAGATTATATATTCAATTGAAGAATTATAAACAGAAATTAAACTTAAATAGAAATCGAGCAAATTTGTCAGAAGTGAGAAGTGTAACCTAATTTCGAAAAGAAAATTCTAAATTAAAACTAATCATAAAAAAACTGTTTAAAGGGTTCAAATGAAGAATAAAAGCAAATCTAATTTTAAAAACAATCCAAAATCCACAATAATATTGAATCAACAATAAAATTACCTTTCTTAATTAATAACTGAAATAAATAACTTAGTCGGAATATCAGGATATTTAAAAAGTAACGCTTAATACTCCAATTAGAAAACAAAGTTTTAAAATAAATTGTTCAATTAAGTTTATTAATATTAAAAAGAGATAGAAATTATAGATTGGAAAAAAGTGAAAAAAATTTTGAGGCAGGATATTTATTTTGTTAGATAATTGTAATTTAACTTATTCAACGTTAATTTATTTAAGATAAAACAATAAAATATTTTCTGATATTATGAAAATGTTATAGGCTGAGATTATAAATTTCAAATTTATTTCATCATCACCAAATGATGAAATTTTTGTAAACAAAAACCAAAATTATTATGCAAATTTTAAGAATTAATTTAAAATGGTCAAATTTAACTTAGTCATTATGTAGATTATATTAGATTATTGCTAAATTAATCATCTCTTGGTAATTTTGAAAAGTTATCATGTTGGAAACTAATCATCATAAGTGCTTTTATTTAGTTTAGTTAATATCAATTCATAATATTTAAATCTTAATATATATCGAAATAACTATAAGGGAATCTCATTACTTTGAATGATAAAATTACAGTAAATCAATTAGAGATACAATCTTCCTATTACTAAGATTTAAAAAAAAAGAAAAGTGTAACATAATTGATAATCAATGTAAATATAATAGTGGATGTATTTTTCCAGAACTTATGGATAGGAATTGTAATTAATCAAAACTTATAGGTATGGAATTCCATTTAACAAAATGAACTATGAACATATCAAAATTAAGTTATAATAAATATCCTTGCTTTTATCTATTAAGTTTAATTGAATTTAATATTTTGATAACAGAATCAAGTTCACTTAATAATGATTCTCTCGCTACTTAGTTTAGAATTAAATTTGAATCATTTACAAAGAGTTTATTATCATTGACGCTATAATCTATTAATGGATACAAGATTATTTGAGTGATTGTATTTTGTTGAAAAAGAAAATGAAAATTGATTTGGATTCTGCAAAAAAACTTAACTTTTTCAGGTCATTTTCTTGGAAGCAGATGAATGATTCAGATTTTTATTACCATAAAGAAGTCGACTATATTTATTACATCAAAACTGGATGATCGAGAAATATTCAATCTAATTCTTTATTATTTATAATTTATTATTATGATTAACAATTACGATATTTCTTTCATCATAGAACCAGTCGAAAAAAGAGGAGGGCTTTTTCAAGGTTCCATAATTACTGCAACCAACATGAATGCACTAAATTAACACAATATTACATGCGTTCTCTCAGTTTGTTCTGAATTTAGTAATCCATCATTTTAACTCAAGAAATTTAATATGGTCCAGAGATCAACAATCTAATATTAGATTGCCATGACACTCCTCTCTTTGATATGACTCCACTTTTTGAATAAGCTCATGCGTACTTAGAATCATCCAGACAATACACTAATGTTTTAGTCCATTGTCATGCTGGCAAATCAAGATCAACAGCTATTGTTGTCTCCTATTTGATGAAAAAAAGAAACCTTAATCTAGAATAAGCCTTAATTTATGTTAAATATTAGAGACCCATAGCCTCTCCAAATCCAGGTTTCATTAAATAACTTTTACTATATGAATAAAACCTGTATGGTAGAATTACTTCAGTTTTAACAGAATCGATAACTCCCTATTTCCAAATACAACAATAGTTGTAAGCTATGTCACCAACTAATACTCCTTCAAAATAAAGAACATCAATCTAAGTTTTAGATAATTATTCTGACACAAAAAGGCAACCTTTAAATTCTCCTATTAGATCTGTTCCTGCTAGCTTCCCATTAATTGTTTAATCTCCTCCATAATAAAAATAATAAGCCAATCAAGAATAGCCCTAATTTACTACCCCTCAAATACAAAAAAATCCAAATTAAAATGCATTTTCATTTCAGTAACCCATTTCTATTCCATTCACTGTTCCAATATCTAAAGAAATTGTTTCTGCAGTTAAGAAAAATAATGAATAATAAAAAGTTGAGTGATAATATTTTAATTTCCAAAATGATTGTTACTTCATTTATATTGAAACAATTATTAGAATTCGAAATTTTCTATTAATTCAAAGTTAATTTTAATATTCCATCCATTTAACTTAAAGATTTTGGAGTTCAAATAATCAATTCATAAATTTATATCTGTTCTCCGATGTAATAAATTTTATTTTAGAATTAATCTACTGTTAAAATTGCCATAATTCAATTGAAAATAAAAGAAATTAATTGCATCAAAAAGAAGTGAGATAATTATCAAAAATTTTCATAATCTAAATAATGAATACTTGAAAGGTTAATAAATATGTTTTTAGTATGTATGTATATATATATATATATGTTTAGTTAGATGTATATTATTATTATATTGTGTGTTGAATGTACAATACTAATTGATCATTCACCTCCTGCTGATTTGGATCCTGGGGCAACAAATTATTAGATTTCATCATAGAGGACTAAGACAAGTGATGCACCGATTCCTCTGAAGAAATTTGAAAGGGCTCCTTTGAAGAAGGCTTTAGTTCCTTCATTCTTAGCAATTTTGACAGCACAATCAAGTGTATTTTTATAAAGAACATCTGCTCTTCCTATAAAATAGATAAATAATTATTGATTACCAGATTGCATCATCATTCTTCTTCTGATTGTATCTAAAGGATAAGAAATAACACCAGCTGTTCCTGTAATGAATTAGGCGACAATGAATTTGGCAATAATGTTTCCCATCATTGGATGTTTAAAGATTGTTCCCTTTGCTGTGTCATATGTACCAAAATAGACTCCTCTATATACTACAATTCCCAAAACTGAAACTCCAAATCCTCTATACAATCCGATGAATCCATCTGATTTATATACTTTACTCAAACAATCTGTTAAGCCATTAAATTGTCTGTCAGCCTTCTTACCAATATCTGCAGCTAATCTTGTTCTTGCAAAATCGAGTGGATAAACAACTATCAAAGATGTTGCACCAGCTGCACCACCTGAAGCCATATTTCCTAAGAAAAAGAGGAATTTCTCCTTTCTTGGGTCTTAATAATATTGAAATAATAAATACCAAATGGACAGAGAAGCTTCTTATAGGCATCTTTGAAGGCAAAGTTCAATGCTTAAGTTGGGAAATATCTGATGACATTGGCCAAATTACCTCTCCATAAAGCTGATAAACCCTTTTATTTTTATTATATAATATACTTCTTCTTTTGGGACTCTGATGAAGCAATCAACAATACCATTGTATTTCTTGGCTCCTCCTTCTTAGATTTTTTTATTTGCATCTTAGGTTTAGAGTAACAATTTGACTCTTTCAATTGGAGCAACAGCAGTCTTTGAAACAGCAGCAGAAACACCACCAATCAAGAAATCTCTTAAGAAATCAGCCATTTATATGAAAAAAATAAATCTTTTTGAATTTTTGGAACAAATTTGTGCTTATATATATCACAAATAAATATATATTATATAATATTCTTTTAATACCTTCTATTTTATTACACTATTCTTCTTACTTTTTATTAAAACCTGTTTTAAAAGCTAATTTCTTTTCCATCCTTCAAACACTCTCCCCACTTCTTTCACCACCCTAACTAAGTCTATATTCACTCAAACACCAAGTGAAATATGGCTAATTCTTAAAATAAACCATTAAAGAATGGTTCATAATTATTAAAAGTAAGTTTTTTGGATTAAAAATAAGAGAGAAATTATGATCTAACAGTTATCATATTGCTTTCTAAAGAAGAATGATGTTTTCACAATAATTACATTAATTTAAGCAAAGTTAAAATTCTATCAAGTTTAGAATGATAATAGTTTATTCAAGATTCTATATACAAGATTGTAAGTCTGCTCAAAATTAAAAAGAACTATAAAAGTCCTTAATTAATTTTTAAGAAATTATTAAATATATTCTAAAGTATGTTAGTGCAAATTTTTACAATAATATTTTAGTCTTTTAAAATTGATTCTGTGCTTAAAATGATTTTAAAAACTCACAATTGTAAAATGATATTGATTATTGCTTTACGAACACTTACTATTTTTTGAAGTAAAAATTTTTTATGTTACAATTATAAAATTTTTGGGAATAATTCTAATTAGAGAATTAAAACTAATGAATTATAGGTTTAGTTGTCTAATGAAATCTTTATTATTAATTTTATTGCGAAAAAGTTGCATTTTATCAATTTATATTTAACTTATTCTCTGAATAATGATAGAAATTATAGAGTTCATTATTTAAACCTCCAATTGAGTTAAAGTATATATTTTAAAGGTTAGATTATCCAAAACCGATGAGGTTCTAGTCTTTCTTAAATCAGGCGCTCAAAAATAACTTTATTTTACTGAGATATCTAATATTGTAAACATCTTTATAGAATTGAAATTTAAAGAGGAAGTGTATTAAAAATAACATATTACACTATATAAAAATTTAAAGCATATCAATTTGAATATAAAGGCTTCGAGATAAGATACACTTGAGAATTATTTTCAATATATTAGAAGGAATTTAAGGAAAGAATATGTGATTTTTATATCGAGGGTTACTTAAAAAGTAGCATAGGCTTTTAGTAAGTAGAGTTAAGGTTTACAAAATGATTAAGCAGGAAAAGAACCTCAATCCAATTAACAAGGAAGGTGGTATTTTTAAGTACTTTTATGATGATGATGGAGAACTTTTTTGCAATAGAGTAACATAAAATTGCTTGGACTAGTTAGGTGTACTTTTGAACAGATCTCCACTGTTACCTAAAGAATTACAGAAATTAGAAAAATTACAGTATAACGAGATCTGAAAATTGTAAGATTTCATGTAGTATAGTAAGGCGAGGAGTGATGGAATTTTTGATACTTTTTCTAAAGAAAAAATAGTATCATTTGATGGAAGATTTATGGACTTAGANCTACATAATCTTTAATTATTTTGAGTTTCTCCTTTAATTCTTAATTAATGTAGAATATTCTTTCATTATGATTCCATTAATAATTGTAATTTTCATTTTTCCTCAATAGAATAGCTTGTAATATTAAAAGTAAGTCCTATGATTGTTAGAACATTTCTTTTATATCATTTAATTAGGGGAATTTTCACATTAGATTAAAATAGTTCTTTATTTATATCATTTGAAGAAATACGTTTGATAAATTGTTTACTTTTGCATCTAACAAAACAAGATTTTCATAGAATAGAAATACATGTATTATTCATCATTTCATTTTATTATTATTCCATTCATGTATTCCAGAAAATCAATTTCAACAATATATCATTTTTAAGTAATTATTTTGGATGGAACAGGAATTATGATGAGATTATTACTTAAGTAGAATTAAGATTTATGTAACTATCTTAGGAGAGAAGAATAACTAAAATTATACTATATTGAAAATTTCGCTATATTGTATTGTTAAGAAATGAAAAAATAACTTTTTTGCATATATACAGAATACTATAGTTAAAAATGCCATTTAATATTCTAATCCTATTTTTTTATCTTTTGGTATTATGAAATCTTTTAATAGTTATTCTTATCCCTTTTAGAGCATATTCTAATAAGTTTTTTACCTCTTTAAATTAATCTTGTATCTCTTAATATTATTCTACCCTGACGGGAGAAGAGAAAAACATATACATTAAATCATAGAATCTTTTCATAATTATTATACTCCTTTAATTCTTCTATCATTTTCTCCATTCGTTTCCTCCATTTTCTACTCTCGTCACCGCTAATTATTTTCTTAATAAATGTGTTGTAATTTTAATTTAAGTGATCTTTTATCCAATGATTACATGTGGCCATCTATGAATATATTCTACTTTAATATCCTCCTTTGTTCAATTACTATTCATAATTATTAGGCACATTAGCCAATTTCCCTTTTAATCGTTTGCTCTCGTAATAATCACATGGATCTATTACATCAATTTCAAATTGAAACATCTATCTTTCAATAATCATTTTTCTAAACTAGTATCTACACTATTTACTCAGGTCATCAGGAGAATTACCAATTTAATCCACTATTTAATCTGATGCACTTACTATAAGGGACCCTTATTAAAGTTTTTAAATATCTTTTATATAACTTATCTATTTCTTGTTAATAAGACTATATTTTATTAAAATGCGCTGCAACCTCTGAAAATGAGGTCAAATGAAGGCAATTCATAAATGTATTCTCCCTTTACAATTCAAATATTAAGTGATCCATCTTGACTATGTATTATACTCTTTACTTAGTTTTTGTCATATAATCCTTCAAATTTCCTAACCTATTAATTACAATTCCTAAGTATGTATAGCTTTCTACAATTGAAATTCCTTTAAATTTTTAATTCGTTATTTTTCTTATTTCAACCTAAAAATTTCATGTTTGGATTATTCATTTTAGGTTCCATCTTATACTTTCTTCATTTAAACATTTAATAAAGGATTTTAAGAATTTGTTTTTATTAATAATTGCTAAATATTCTTCATATTCAAAATCCTCATATAGAGTATTAGCCTATCTCTCAATTTCCTCCAAAACCGCTTCCAAAATATATATAAAATAACCTGGAGATAAAGAGGACTCCTAAGGAACTCCATCTTAATAATAGAATTCATAGTTTCTAAGAATTAAATCTCCTTTCCTCTAAGATAGTTTTTTCCTCAGAATTTAGTACAATTTATATCTCTATATAATATTGTATACATAGCTAAAATCAATGAATAATAAGTTTATACGGTCTTATTTTTTAGACTATCTAAATCTGTTGAAATATATGAAAAATATTTATCTACACTCCTCCACCTTTAACAATCTATTTTATCTTAAACTCATCTTCCTCTACATATAATCATCTATTTTGTTTTTAAGTCTCAATTCCATAAACATATACATATTACTCAGAATTGTAATAGGCCGAAATTATGCTTTATTAGGGATTTATGGAAAGGCTTTATTCTAAGGAAAAAAGTCTAGCTTCTCGCGGCTTTTTATCTACTTTAGTCGTCTCTAAGTCCATAAATCTTCCATCAAATGATACTATTTTTTCTTTAGAAAAAGTATCAAAAATTCCATCACTCCTCGCCTTACTATACTACATGAAATCTTACAATTTTCAGATCTCGTTATACTGTAATTTTTCTAATTTCTGTAATTCTTTAGGTAACAGTGGAGATCTGTTCAAAAGTACACCTAACTAGTCCAAGCAATTTTATGTTACTCTATTGCAAAAAAGTTCTCCATCATCATCATAAAAGTACTTAAAAATACCACCTTCCTTGTTAATTGGATTGAGGTTCTTTTCCTGCTTAATCATTTTGTAAACCTTAACTCTACTTACTAAAAGCCTATGCTACTTTTTAAGTAACCCTCGATATAAAAATCACATATTCTTTCCTTAAATTCCTTCTAATATATTGAAAATAATTCTCAAGTGTATCTTATCTCGAAGCCTTTATATTCAAATTGATATGCTTTAAATTTTTATATAGTGTAATATGTTATTTTTAATACACTTCCTCTTTAAATTTCAATTCTATAAAGATGTTTACAATATTAGATATCTCAGTAAAATAAAGTTATTTTTGAGCGCCTGATTTAAGAAAGACTAGAACCTCATCGGTTTTGGATAATCTAACCTTTAAAATATATACTTTAACTCAATTGGAGGTTTAAATAATGAACTCTATAATTTCTATCATTATTCAGAGAATAAGTTAAATATAAATTGATAAAATGCAACTTTTTCGCAATAAAATTAATAATAAAGATTTCATTAGACAACTAAACCTATAATTCATTAGTTTTAATTCTCTAATTAGAATTATTCCCAAAAATTTTATAATTGTAACATAAAAAATTTTTACTTCAAAAAATAGTAAGTGTTCGTAAAGCAATAATCAATATCATTTTACAATTGTGAGTTTTTAAAATCATTTTAAGCACAGAATCAATTTTAAAAGACTAAAATATTATTGTAAAAATTTGCACTAACATACTTTAGAATATATTTAATAATTTCTTAAAAATTAATTAAGGACTTTTATAGTTCTTTTTAATTTTGAGCAGACTTACAATCTTGTATATAGAATCTTGAATAAACTATTATCATTCTAAACTTGATAGAATTTTAACTTTGCTTAAATTAATGTAATTATTGTGAAAACATCATTCTTCTTTAGAAAGCAATATGATAACTGTTAGATCATAATTTCTCTCTTATTTTTAATCCAAAAAACTTACTTTTAATAATTATGAACCATTCTTTAATGGTTTATTTTAAGAATTAGCCATATTTCACTTGGTGTTTGAGTGAATATAGACTTAGTTAGGGTGGTGAAAGAAGTGGGGAGAGTGTTTGAAGGATGGAAAAGAAATTAGCTTTTAAAACAGGTTTTAATAAAAAG